CTTGGACCTGTTCACAAACCCCAAGATTTTGGACCATTTAATCTCGGGGAGTGATTTGGTGATGTCCTCTCCTTCAAAGATTTCAAATCTAGACCTAGCATACCTATCACACTCTGCGAGATAGTGCCTCGTCGTTTCTTCTTTTATTTCACAAAAACGCAAAAGGGATCTGGTAGGAACCCATTAAGGAGAGGTGTCATCTCATTGGGCACGTCAGGATACCTATCAGCCTCCTAATTCCCTTCCTTGAGATAGAGAATAGCCATTTCTATTCTGCTGGTTTATGTGCTGGTATCCAAATAAGGGTTACTCTGTTCTCAAACCTGGAAGAGATCCTATTGATTAGATCTACAGTTTCCTCCACCAGTTGTGAGGTTGACAAATCTTTTTGTAGTGACCTAAGACTAGCCTGACTGTCAGAAAAAATTCTAATATCTTTTCCCTTAATTTTATTTTCCATAAGTGTTCTACAACACACATTAATGGCCCAGATTTCCGCCTGAAAAATGGAGGTGTTATTACCAAGAGGGGAGGAGATGCTGATTCCTAATTGATCCAGAGTGTTTGTAATACAATGGTGGGACATTTATTGAATATTCTATTATTTGAACTTTTTCCTCTCATTTTTAAAGCATCTTCTTTTATATTAATCAGAAGATAACTGATATTGACAAAAAGCGCTCCTTGCTTAAAACCAATTCTGCTTCCAAATTATTATATATAGATAGCATTATCCATGTAGACAACAACTGTTTCCATTTTTCAACTGCTGTAGTAAATTTTTTATTTGTTTTAAATAGCCAGCTTGCACAGTTATGAGAAAATTGAAATTACTAACAGTGTTGTACACAATTCAAATAGCTGGAATTTGAACGTGGGACTGGTTATGTGACAAATACATAACTGACATCATGGCGTGAGCCAACAATTATCACATTTCAAGTAAATTGTGATTTATGTTATGTTGATACTTACTTAAGATATAATTGTATGCAAAAGATATGTTCTTGTAAAGACAGACTATAATAGTTGTAGTTATAATTTTGTGTGTAGATTGTACACTGGATTTGCTGATCTAGCTGTAGCGTTGCATATGTAATTGTGTTTATGATTATTTTAAGTTTATCAAGTATTTCAATGATCTGAGTTATTCGAGGCAGACTCCTGGGTATTTGGATGCAAAAGCCTTACTGCTCTACTAGGGTAAAAAATACTACAATGGATTAAGGACATAGGGGATAGTGATAAATAATAAAGCCATATTGAGCATAACAATAGTGAGTTATATTTTTTTTTTTTTCAGAAAAACAGCTCTATAAAATTTCAGTAATTGATATTCCTAAAATCTATTTTTGTGACTTCTAAAGTTAGAAAGGAATGTACTTTTATGTAGTGATTTCTTCTTCACTAATCTGATATTCTTTTAAAAATGTTATAGTTATCATTTAATTGCAAGTCATCATGATATCTTAATTACATCATATCACAATAATAATAAGTAGAATACATTGGTAATATTTTTCTAGTGTTAAACACAATTATAAAAAGAAATAAAGAAAATTTATGACCTGAGAACAGTTAGCTTCATTGTAAAATAACATTTAAATTATTGGACGGCATTAGATACCATACACAATACTGAAGAATAAACATTAAGATGATTGTAATTTAAAGGTATGTTAAACATAGTTTCATGTTTAGTTGCAAAGTTTAATCATTATCTCCTATTCCAAAAATGGAATGGGACAATAAAGACACTTTGCAATAATTGAACATTGCCTCAAGAAATTTAAAAAAAAGATTTAAGTAATTAATTAATCGAGCTTTTTTAATTGTTTAGTGATGCCAAGTCTGTATCTTTAATTCTGTAGTTACAAAAATATCAATTATAACAAGCTGCATTATTGTTATAAAAAAATGACTAAAATAAACAAAAGAACAATTTATAGTTAGATATTATACTTTCTAGTTTCCTTTGAAAATATAATCATATAAACACTATACATGTCCACATGCTTACATGTGCCAGAGTAAACTATGAAATTTTCAACAAATACCAACAAAGATGACTCTAAATTATTTCTTATTATAATAAAAATAATATTTAATACAATAATTGCAATAATTGTAGAATATATTTACAAATTCACTATTGTGTTGAACATAACCTCATCCCTATCGGTAACTAAAATGATCATTTGTAAAAAAATATAGAATACGTTTTAAAAAGTAAGTATTTACAGGAAAACTTTTTTTCTCTAATGTATGTTAAAAGTTCAATAAATGAAAAATTTGGTATGTCAATTGCTATCACTTGAAATGCAAACAGTTAAATGTAAATTATCTTGATTGGTTTATGTCATGACTTAGGTACAAGGCAATATGAGTATTATGGAATTTACTATCATTTACGTTAAGAAAATATATTTTCAGATTTATTAGATATTACTCAAATCTTTTTTCCTTTCTTTTAAATTAGATCACATTGTTTTTAACAGAACATTAACCATTTGTATAAATATAATTTATATACAGATCAAAAAAATTACTCCTCTACAACAGACTAAATATAAAAAATAATAGCATATTTGTGGTTAGTATACCAAAACAATTAAAAAGAACAATAATTCAACTTGTTTTTTAATAAATACACATTTTTCTTTAATTTTCTATATAAGCTTAACATTTTTAAAAATTTGAAATTAAACATGATAAGTAGGTATAACATGTTTTTTAAGGCCCATCACAATAAATCAAATTGAGTTGCTTATGCTAGCAATCCAAATTAGAAGGGGTGGAATATCGAAATTTAGTCTCTGCTTCGCTTCCATCACAGATGTATTTCCCTATTTGAAAATTAAAACCAATATAAACCTTGAAATTGTGTCGCATAATTATTTATAGTGTACCTGAAACAAACTGTCGTTTCACTAATGATATTCGGTATCCATGACCAACAAGGTTAAAGTCGATTCCAGAGAGTGTTGTACCCTCACAGTTAAACTGAGCAGCGATCGTGCTTGGAACACTCGGGCCGTTTGAAATTTCAAATCGACCCCTCAATGAACCGACCCCATTTTTGTCGCAATGTTGACTAAGTTCTGTGAATTTCCATAACGCCCTTTGATTCTCCGGAACCCTTTAACAACACAAAGGAAAAAATATATACATATTACGGAAGATAACTGAAATAGCATAAACAACATTGAAATATAAGTACAGTAGAACCCCCATTAACCAAGGTGCATAACTTTTTTTTTTTTTTGAAAAACAAAAGGTGTTTTGTCAACAATGGAACGAAAATTATTACTAATAAAATGTTTTGAAAATGGTGAAACCTAAAAAAAAAAATTCACAGAGTTTGGAGTTGCAAGCAAACTGTACACAATATCATGAAGGAGAAGAGACTTTTTGACTTTGTAATTCAGGCTGCTCAAATGATGTGCTGTAGCAGGAAAATAATTATAACACCTACATTAAGTGACTTTGATCAATCAATCATATATAAAAAGTTCACAAAAAGTCGCTTAGGGAGTTCTAATTTTTTCACCAATGTGTCAGAAATTGATGAAAACTGATTCTTTTCTTGACATTAAAACTATCCTGGATTTCATCAATATTGACAGGGACATGGTAAATTAGCTAGAAATTGATACGAACAAAGCCTTCTTCATTTTCTGTTCAGTCTAATAAAAAAAGGAATAACAGATCTCCACAGAAAGGAGGGCTATCGACCTCTTAATAGAGTGAAAGTGAAATAGAGTATATGGAACTTCTGTTAAATTATTTTGAATAGGAGATTCAAAGAAAAATTTCAAAAGAATTTGAAAGGTGGAATTAACCTCAAAGGCAATGAAGCAAAAAACAAAGTAAAATCATGTTATTTTTTTCTAAATAAAACTGTAGATAATTTTGATCTATGTACATTTGTACTATAAATTACATTATTTGTTTCTTATTAAAAATAATATTTTTTACATGTTAATTAATTTTTATCTAACAATTGGCTCAATAAAAATGTATGTCAATTATCTGGGGTTTTCGAATATTCGAAAATACCTCTCCCCCCTAACATAGGAATAATGGAAGTTTAAGTGTATAAAAAAGAAAAAAAAATTGTAACGCGCATACCATATTGCTGTTGGCTTAGATTGGAAATTAGTCACTCCTCCATCAATTGGTACAGCGACAGTTAAATTCAGCAATGGTGATGGAGACGCCATCGCATGTGAATTATATTTATAATCAATCTTTAGATCAGTTTGATTAGTTTCACATTTCCAATAAGCAACCAACTGTAAAGGGCAGGACTCCGCTCCTGTTTTAGTTTTTATCTAAAACACAGGGTATCATTTTTAATTACAATTCACACAATTTATTACATTATTTCTTGATTATAAGATAAAAAATAACTAACTTGATATTTTAGTATATCAACATTAAAATATGACGCAGTCGAGTTCTGTTCAGCTTGCCTTCTTAATAGGGCTGTTAAGGCACTCATATTAAAATCAAAGACATTGTTTTCCCTAATAGCAACAGAGTCTCTATAAAAGGAAGAACAAACGTTCAAAAATTAGAGTTTATGACTACAATAATTCAAATGTATATCAATCTTAATTGCTTCATATCAACACATTATAATAATTACAATTAAACTTACATATTAATTAGCTGTTTATTAGGTAAAATGCTATCCAAATTGCTTGAGTTATGTAGCTTGAATGAAAGTTGCGCAGGACTAGGATTGTTTGTAAGTATTGTAACTATACCTGCAGGAAACGATACCATCATATCACCACATAATTTGACCTGGCATCTGAAAAAAAATTTCCCAATTATTTTCTTGTTATAATTTCTTGTTTAAAATAATGAATTCTTACTTTTCTTCATCAGCTCCTTTGAAATAGCAATGTATAATTTCATGGAATGCAACAGCCAATGGAATTGTATCTGCCATCCCAATCGTTAATGGGGAAGGGCCTCTGGACGATCCCAATGGAATTCCAGACGCTCTAAATTCAACGCTGTCGCCATGAGCCAATGAACTGGGAATGGGACTTCGTACACCCCCCTATAAATAAGTAGAACGGATTATTTATTATGCCACTAAATTGATATTCGAGTAATCTTTTGTTTGATACAAAATGCGAATGATTTAAAAAAAATTTCATAACCTACATACCTCACTTCTTCTTGATGGTGGTCTTGGAATGACAATTGTTGAAGCCACAGACACAGTTGGTGTAGATGCTTGACGTTTTGATAATGTGTTGGATTGAATTTCACCAACTTCAGAGAATAAATCTCCTAGATCTGAATGTATCAATTTCGACAATAAAAACATAGAAATAAAATTTTAAAAAATTAACCACAAAAATTAACCTGCATAACGATTAGAAGCAGCTGTTATAGGGGGTGTTGGACTTTGAAGTGGAGCATACGGGTGATTTCCTGTAGGAGTTGAAGCACTAGAACCTGTAGGACTCTGCACTAAATTTACATTTGCTAGATCATTGCTGACTTTCCTGCAATTAATAACTCATATTCAGTCAATATCCATTGTAATTCATTTAAATAGAATATGAGAACAAAACGGGTAAGTATACAGACCCTCCAATCTGCTGTGAAACTGATTGCGACCTTTTCATATGATTGCTTGCATTTGGATTTGTCCGGCGAGTCTAAAAATAAATGAATTATTTATAAAAATATATTAATTGATTTATATGATGTTTAAGCTCATAAATATTTACAGGTACTGTGCCTCCTAAAGGTGATAATGATAAATTTTCAACCGTGGCACGTAATTCATCCACACTTGCACTCATTGGTGCAGCCCCATTGCTTAAAGGTTTTATTTCAACTCTAATCTTTTTCTCCCTCTCTTCATCTAAAATAGTTAAAAAATTAGTAACACAACAATTTTACTAAAGATTGTTTGAGTAGTTTTAATGTTGTGATTTTAGTGTACAAACTCAAGTTAAGTTTATGACTTTTTTTTTTTTTTTTTTTTTTTTTTTTTTTCTTTTTTTAAATTGGCCTTATGATCTTTGCATATTAGCCACGACGAATTCGTATGTATGTTGTTCAATTGGGGGTTATCGGGAAAAAAGGGCCATAGGCGACCACGGCGTGAGAGTCTCTCATGCTAACCACTCGGCTACCGCGGTCCCCAAGTTTATGACCTTTAGTGACATTTTTCCATATGTGGATCCTGATTTTTTTTTTACATTGGCTTGGATAACTTAGTGTACCATTACAAAAAAGTACAAAAAAATATATATGTTATACGTACAACAAAAATCTGACCCTAAACATGCATTTTCCTTACACATTAAAAACACGGGGAGGGAGTAATATTTCAAATAAATACAGCTTACTCTCAATATAGAAGAGTTTCCTCTTAACTATCCCTTTGAATATTCCTTTAAAATGATAATTGGGAAATTAATTTGCCATTTCTATGACTGTAGTTAAAGTAAACTTAGTAATTACTAAGTGAAAATATATTTTAATTTAAAGAACAAAAGAGTTAAAAATAGTATTAAACACCTGAATCTGTATCAGAGCTAGAATAAAAGCTGCTCCCTTTATCGATTTCCCACGATTCTACTTTTGGTCGCACACAATATCCTTCATCATCTACTTCTGGTGTAGGCGTTTTCGATTTATGTGCGTCTTCTTTTTCCTCCCTTTAAAAAAATGCGACATATTGTTATTTATGTTTACTATTTCAGATCGATCTGGTCCTTCTAATTTGCTGAATGCTTTTTTCTAACCGCAGCACACAGCAAGAATAAAAAGACCAGGATGATTCAGAGCATTCAAAGTGCTGACAGATACCTGGTGAGAGGGGGGCAAGAATGATTGGTTTTCAATTAAAAAAATGAATAAAACAATACTTACGTATCTGATTTTTCTTCTTTGTTACTTGTATTATCAGCTACAGCATCCTTCTTCTTCTTCCCTTTCTTTTCTTTTTTTTTATCTCGACGACTCCTTAGGAACCCTATTTTGTTTTAGCAAACAAATGTTTATTATATATTAGATACATAACTTTTATCATTTTGGAGATATGTTCTTAAACTAATTAAGAATAAAAATATATTTTAAAAAAATACCTAACCTAATAATAACTTTTAAAAAAGTAACACGTCCAGGGATAGTCAATGCATGTTTGATGTTAAAATAAAATATCTAATAACAAAAAACTGGACCAGAAAAATCAAAATAAAAAAAAATCCCTGAAAATGTCAACAAAATTAACATAAAGGCATTCATGTAACTAACTAGTGATACTAAAATGTTACTATCATCTAGTGCAAAGTAAGAAAAAAATACAAATCTAAAATTACTAAGAAAAAATAAATGTATTTTAAAGTGCATAAAAGTAAGAGGCAACTAGACCTGATGTCCAAGCAGAAATGCCTGTAGGTGACGCTATTTCGCAGACATCTGTCAGCCAGTTAGAACAGAAAGACACTGAGAGATTATAAACTTTCAGCTCTTATTACATTAAAGCAACTTTCTTTAAAATTACCACACAATTAATAAGCAATTAATAATTTAATTTATTTCAAGATTAGCTATAACAACATAATTCTAACAAATTCAAATTTAAGAAGGATGCCATGTTTCACTACAAGTGATTTAGTTGTTTTTTTTTTACACCCATAGAAGCATATTGTCAATAAGATAAACATGGCTCTTCTTTTGATGAACGGTTAAGTTCATACAGCCAACTCATTGGAACAAGAAGTACATTTATTTAAATTTTAAAAAAAATGTTGCACAAATAAACGAAATAAAATTATAAAATTCCAACCCCTCTACTAAAGAACTTGTTATGTGTACTATGTACAATCTGTCAGTCAAACATGTTTCACTTTACTTCTATGCACGCTCAAAGTATGTTTAGGCATAACACTTATGGATTATTGCTTTTGAAGTTCACTTTAAAACGTGCATGATTTTTGATATATTTATTTGATGTATTTATTTATTTATTCCTTTTTTAGCCAACAAACGATTTCATTAATCTCTATTGTTTTTGAACTATTAAGGAGAAACAGAGCTTTTTAGACAGGTTACACATAGGTAGAGGTTTGCGAGTAAAAAGAATTCTCATAAATTCTCCCAATAAATTCTCAAACGGGACAATTTTCATTTCTCAAACAGCACATTTTATAATATATTTTAAATGAAAATCAGGAACTTAATCCTTTATTTAGGTTCTCCGTTATTCAATCACAGTGATCTTTGTGGGACACTTACTAAAAAGTTAAATATGGGGTCATCCAGCACAGCTCCTTTCTTCTGTAAGAAAGATAATTATTTTTATGTGCTGGGTAAAATTAAGATCAGGTTAAATCTCTGAAAGAACAAGCCTGAACAAATTTTGTTTCGCCAAAAAACAGGCAGAAAGAATACAATTTGGATTAGACTAAAATGAGGATTTGTGATGTAATTTTAATTGTATAAGCTTTAAAGGTAAATGAGGTGGTATCACCATAATGGTAAATCACTGGCATATAAACAATTGTAAGACATATATTGACTATACTCAAGATAATGACATAAAAAAATTAAAGGTAAATAAGTGAACACTTTTTTTTTATGTATATATGCAGAATCTTGAATCGAAAATGTATAAACAATATAATTACATTATTGATGAGGGAAAAAAAAAGACGTTCAATATTCGATTTTTCTCAGACCAGTTGTTACAGGTAAATCATAGAATAATAGAAAGCGACATCAATACATGATGTAACACATTTTTTCAAATGTGCATCATATCCATAGCACAAAAAGCTATATAGAGTGATATATGAGATCTAAGATGATAAGCAAGGGCGTTTGTTCCAAAGATACATTAAGCAACAATGAGTTGAAGTTTTCTATGTAAATGATAACATAGAATGACTCACGCAATTTCGGCTAAACCCTCTCAAGATGAGAGTAAAACAGATTAATCGGCAACAGAAATAAAAATTTCTCCTGCAAATAATAAAAATGTACTTTATATTTTCTATTTAAATTGCGTTAACTGCTGAAATTGTATAAATATAGAGTTGACTGTATATAAATTATATATACATGGTAGCATAAATATGTGTTTATTCGAGGATGAAAACATGTGTGAAGAGTATAGTAAATTATACATCATCACACAAAAGTAACACATAACGTAAAAATTAAATATTTTAAAATTATAAACAGTCCCGCCAAAGGAAAGGGGGAAGAAAAGATGGAGATAGAATGGAAAATCTGAACATGTGGAAAAGCAATTATTAATGAACTGTGAAAAAAAAACTTGGTTAATTCAACGATAACATAGATAATATTCTTTGTTAATTAGTTTAGAACATTCATACTCACACATACATACACAAACCTGCTCATTACAATTTAAAAGAAAGTATTTGTTTATAAAATGTTAGTAGCACTATGAACATATGTAAAATTTAGTGAGAATTAAGCAATAGTAAATATATTTTAAGCTTTGCATAGGGTGACCAGTTAATAATTTACAGTAACAACAATCATCATTAGAAGAGTTCTTATAAATCCGATCTGTTAATAATTAACAGCAAAAAATATTGATTCTTACAAACTCACATATTCAAATGTCCTTTAAAATAACTGATTTACCATATGAAATACCAGTTCAGGATTTCATCTATTAGTAGGCCAGCTTTTCCTTTTATTTTTCTAAAAAAATACATTGGTTAAAGAAACAATTCTTTTTTTTCTCATAGTAAGTATGAGCACTTAAAACACTTTTTTCAAATGTTAACTAAGTTAAAAATATGAAAAACGTTATTTTGAAATAGTGTGTCAGTAGATAAGTAATAAGAAATAAATTTACACTTTGCTATTCATACGATGGCATGTATATCGTCAAAATTAGAGCCAAATGAAACAATTTAATTAAGATATTAAAAAATTAATTTAGAACATGGCTTTTTCATAGGTATCTAATGTGTCAGTCACCTGAAGTCTTGTTGTTTATTAAATTGTTAACAAAATTGTTACATGCGAGAAAACATAAAAGAGCACACAAAACATTTACAAGTAACAAAAACATTTCCTGATAGAGAGGGGAAAATCCTAATAATTCATACAAGGAAATAATTTTTTTAATGCTACTTTAATTTTCTTTTCAGAAATCAACATGGATCGCCATTTAGAGAAATTTCACTTCTACATCCTTCCTAATTGCCATTAATAAGAAAAATTTACGAAACAGATTATATATTTGCCCCACGTACATTAGATGACAAACAACTAATATACAATATTAGTGATTGATTAATTCTTAATTGAATCATAAAAGCATGCAAAAGGGGAAAAAGTGCATCACATCTCTTGATAGATATGTACAAAGTAACATACAATTACTTCACTTAATATTCTATACAAAGTATACACACTGTTGGTCGAATAAGAAATCTGGAGTTCCCATGCAGTACTGACAATATTGAGAAAAAAATATATGCTTAGTATAACCCATAAAATTTGGTCAATCTCTACTTTACTTGACTTATGTATTAAATCAAAATAATTTATGTCAAAATTCAATCGTTAGATATTGCATCATTTATTTCTATGTATATGAATTAGTATAACTAATATTCTTCCAATTAAAATAATTCTTTATTATATTAAAATATCTTCATTTATATAGCATTTTATGTGAATTTAACGTTTCCACATAGTTGTTCTTTTTTAAAAATCAAATTAGATTGTTTACAAAAGCAATATTTATGCTCAATTGATAATGTATTTTTGACTATGTTACTTTTTATAGAATAAATAAAAATTCCACACTTTATGTTGTTTTAATAATAATATCAGTTAGTAGAAGTATCACTGTAAGGTTTTAAGCTTCACATTTAAGTGCAAATAAATCAAGGGATTTTCATGCCATAAGGTTTAATGGTTCAATCCCTGAGATTATTTAAAATAAATTACATTATGACGAATATAAATTATATTTTTCGAGGAAGTATAGCATTTTTTGAACAATAAACAGCTGGGACATTGTGAGAATTCTATTTTCTTAACGTTTTCACGTCTTTACTTGAGCCCTCATCAATGCAGGTACATTATATCTCATGCAGATTATGTACACATTGTTAGGTTATCCACCTAATATAATGCACCTGCACAGCATATGGCTCAAGTAAATAAGTAAAAACATTTTGAAAATAAAATAGAATTTTCAGAACAATGCGTCCGTTTAACATTCAAAATACCTATTCATCCCGGAATTATTTTAAACAAAAACTGGTAAATAATAAAATTATACGTATTTTTCTAGTTAGTATAGCAAATGGCGAAAAAAGATGCATAATTTACTTATAGATTTATGTAATATTTATTTTAAACTAATCTGGTCACCCTAAAAAAGTTCATAATAGCGAACAATTTTAAGCAATAAAGTACTATTGATTAAATTTGTAAAAAAGTTAAATAGTAAGAAAGTGACTGAAGTGATACAGCTTTATAGGGTGTGGAAACAAAAAAAAAAAATTAAATTACATTTTGATCCCCTGAGAGGTTGACGAGAGATACTAGAAGTAGAATCTGTGGGCAGTGGACTGGTAGGTGCTGACGTTGCCAAAGTAACTGGACCGTCCTTGCCTGCAACACATCACACGACACCTCACACCACACACACACTACCCTCACTTTTATATTAAATTTGTAAAAAAAAAATAAGGTTAGTACACTTATACCAATTAAAATAAAATAAAATAAAGCAAATCATGATTTTGCATTGTCCCATATCCCTTGAGATATTGCAAAAAAGTCTTAATAAAATACTCTTAAGTAGTATGTACATCAAGAAATTTCACAGATTTAAATGTTAATTCAATGGTCGTAATTTAAAAGTAGCACATAAATTTTTTTTAAAATAAACACAAAAATATAATTGAACAAAAACTTTCTTTTTTAAAAATGTGAAATGGCAATGTAAAAAATAATTTTAATTTAAAAAATAAATAAATACAGTAATCATAATAATTTAACAACACATAGTTGTAATTACAGGGTGTTCTGTCTCGTTTATATATGTGTAATCATTTTGTATTGTACTACATGTTTATCTGGTAATACACACGTTTAATAAAAATATAAAATAATAATAATATTTCTTAAAAGACCAAAAAATTTATTTGATGAATTAGGCACGTTTCAAAGTTCATAGAACTGTGAATTATTTTAACTCTTTTTTTTTTAAATATATATAAGGCAAAGTAGGTGATTACTGACAATTAGATTGCTTTTTTATCGTAAAGAACTATCGGCAGTAAAATATGAATATAATAACAAATTAATAAGAAAGTCTGTTAATATTTTCATAAAAAAATATTTTAAAATAAGCGATGTATATTTCGCAATTAAAATTGATAACTTATTAACGCAAGTTAATTATTCTGTGATTACAAAAACACAATTTTAATGTGTTAATTGTAATAAATTTTTTGAAAACTAAATTTGTATTCATTTTGCAATTCTCAATTATATAGATAAGCCAGAAACATGTTTTAAATTTCGCCAATGAAATTTTTCCATACAGTTTCCGAACTAAAAATTATAAATGACAGTCAAATGATAGTAATTTAGCTTATCAGTTGTAAAAAGTGTTCGCAATTTTTGAATTATAACGTTTGTTATTAATTGGTTTCTTACAGAGATTAAAACAACGATAAAACAGACAAAGGTTTTTAAAAGGAGAGGATAATTTATGAAAGATAGGAAATTGTGGATCTAAGTGAACAAATAGAACAACAATAAAATGGATGAGAAGTTTTTCCACAATATTCCAATGCATCATTGCAACTAAATATTAGCATTGTAGTATTTATACTTAATGATGATACAACCTCCTATCCCAACCTTTAAAATAAATTACAATTAAAAATAATGCTATAAAAATTTTCAAAATTTAAAATCTATATGACATTGAAAAAGATGCCAAGTGGAAAAGCAATTTATTATGTACCAAAACATTGCCATTCCGAAAACTAAAACCTTATATTGCAATTTGACAACCCGCACTAACGAAATGAAGAATATATATATTCTTTTTTTTTAAAGTAATTATACATATAGTGTATAATTCAAGATTATTCAAAATCATGTTTTCCTTAGCAAATCCAAGGATTTATTAAAAATCCTTAACTTTTTTTTTAATATGTTTTTATATGCTTACACATCATGTATGTACTATAACTTTATTAGTACATACATAACTTAGTTTGTTGTTAGCTCATTAACCCAGTAATACATTTAACGTGGAAAAAAAAGAAGACAAGTCTGTCATTATTCAAAAATATGCTTACTTAACTTAGTTTACTAAACTAAAATGCCAATAATCAAATGTCACACGAATTGTTCTTCTCCAGGGTCGATACATATCACAATTTGTTTCTTGCTTCTTTACAACGCACACTAAAAGTAGGCTAACATTTTGTACATTAATTCTCTTCAACAACTGTATGTATTATAATTGTGGAAAAAATATGTTGGTAGGTATGTAGGTAAATAAGAACAAGTATATCAGTGTGTTTATTTGTTTGTTTTAGTATGTATGTGCATGTGTGCACACGCACCTACATATTTAAGACATGTTGATGTGTGAGATTTGTTACGAAACATACAGTAATTATTATGAGAAAATAATTTTTTTTACTTTCTTTGTTTTACTTTCTTTATTATTTCAAAATTAGAAAATCAATGTTAAATGAATTAGAAATTGTTTAAACAATTAGAAAATTTGTTTCTCAAAAAAATAACTGACTGATAAGCGTAGCTCATACTATACTTGTATAATTTATTCTTTTTGCCTGCCCAGAATTAAATTTTTAAAACAAAGACATTATGAAAAATCAAAATGTATTTTTCTGGTAAAATAAAATACTTGATTACCATTTTAAAATATTGTGCAATATTGTATTATATTGTATTGTGCATCTAATGAAGAATTGCTTGCATTAATGGTGTAACTATCATGTGTATCCGTGCAGTTACATGCCTCAGAATGCACCCAAATTGAAATAAAGTAACAACCACCAATTTCTAACGGCGAATCTTGAAAATGTATAAATAAAGTTCCATATTATTTTGTAAATGAAATAATTTTTAATTCTAAAGTTGTTTTTAATTTATAAATGACAATATGAAGTACTTTTTCAAGAAAATATATTGATATTTTTCTTGGGTTTTACTTTATTATCAGAATTTGGCTTTAAAGAATAAATTAGATAAATATAACAGATTCCTGTAAATGGAAATTACTTTTTAATTTACCTACATACATTAACAGATATTTTGAAATAATTTATTTGGTAACAAATTTCTATTTTCTTTCTCTATGTCAACATTTATACAGTTGATAGTGCAAATGAATAGCATATGTGTGACAACTAAAACCTTTAATAAGTTTTGTATATACAAAAACATATGCATGCATGGAAATAGTGTTAATATTTAATATAAATCCAACCTACCTGAAAGTTTCCAATGTAACAATGGTTACCATTAAGAAGAGATAAACAGGAAAATATAATTTAACCCAGCAGCACCATAAACTTTCTACCGTATTAACAAAGCGGTGAAACTACAAATACAGTCCAATTGTGAATGAAACAAAATACTGCCACAGAAGTTCCTTAGTTCTAAAACACCCAAAAGTTTCAATATATCTAAAGGTCACAGCACCCAGGTTAGATCGCATGTTACAAAATTTGTGAAAACATCCTAATATAGTGATGTTCCTACCGCCAACATTACTACAATCCTGAAGATTTCATCCACAATGGTTGGAAGGGTAAAGGAGTACATACCGTGGGAGTTAGGCAAGAAGATATTGAGGAGTGAGGTAGCTCGGCGGGACTGCTTTGATTTGTCCCATATACCAGAATTACCTTCCCGTTTATTTGTAGGCTGTGTTGTTGAAGCGATAGAGCCTTGCTGACTAGCTTTATTGGAATCGGAAGTTGAAAAAACATCCATGATACCCTCCACTTCTAAAGAACCTGACAAATAAAATATTAAACTTTACTATCTAATCCATAATAATGATTTCACACATTTCTTAAATGAATTACCTGGTTTCTCAAGTCCAGTGTACTTATTTAAAACAAATTGCTCCAGTAATTTTTCCACAGTCATTTCTAAACACTGACGTTTGAATTCTATGTGAACCTAAACGTTTATTCATATTAGTATTTAAAACAAAAATGCAGTTGTTAGGTAAATATATTTTGTGGATTTTATTGTGTAAATGTAAACGCAACAAGCCTAAGGTTGTTTTATTTATGTGTCCTTTGTATATTTTAACATGGTTGAGTTTTTAATATTTCAATTAATATAATAGTATTATTCACCTGTCCCATTAAATCATGATTATTTTCCACAAGTTCTGCATAAGTAGTTAGAAACTCCTTCATCTGTTTAAGATGAACCTCTTCTATTTCTTGAAAGTGCTAGAATTTATAAATTCTCTAATTTAGGACTTTAATCACGTAAGTACATATTTAACACTGCTGATAAAAAAAAGGATAAAATTGTGGTCTACAAAAGCAATTTATTATCAAAATTATGATACATTATATAAACATCTCTCTAAATAATAAACACAAAAAAACATTAAATATTGAAAATATAAACAGTATAAAAATAAGGAATAAGCAAATGCAGTAAAATTACCTTGCATGCCATAGACATTTTCTTCTCAAATTCTTCCTTAATGCTCCCATACTTTTCTACTAAAACTTTGTATTCATCTTGAGCTTTACGTAACTTTTGCTCCGCTTTTTCCAATTCACGAGGTGAAGCACTCTCTTTCTTTAATTTATCAAGTTCAATTCCTTTTTGTGTGAAAGAATCCCTTGCCTTCTGAAGAGTCAGAGAAGTAGATTGTATGGCTAGTACCACTTCTTGAGTTCCTCCTTCTTCCTCTTTTACCTAAAATACCACCAAGTCAATAATTAAGAAATGTTCAAAATTTTACATATTTGCCACAAATGTATGTGTTGAATTGTGCAATAAATTATTTTGAGAAATAGCTACCGTTTTGTGCTTTCTGTGTAGTTCATCAGCATATTTTGAAACTTCTTTCATTAGATCACCCACTTTTTGGACCATCTGAAGATGAAGCGAGGCCAGTCTTTCAGCCGTTGTACGGAGAAGAGCCCATAACGGGGCAAATGTTCCTTGTGTACAACTTCCACTGGCTTGTTTTGCAAGTTTACTAACCAATTTCCAATTATTTTCTTCAATGGATGATCTAATTGATAAATTAACATTGCAATATCAATTCAAAATATTAACGGTGAAAATCTATTAAAACAAAAATTTACCTTTCCCTCAAAAACTCGACCAATTCTTTGCTGGCAACAAGTCCATGTTTCATATTATGATATAACACATCAAACCCATTGTTCTTTTCCCCCTAAAATGCAAAATATCAATTAACAAATAGTACAAATTCTTACTGTCACAAAATTTTGACAAAGTTACTTAGTTATAAAACTCTATCATGCCTTATATACTTAGTTTATATCTGTCCAACCATTTCATACTTATTGCTATGAATTGCTATGTTGACTAAGTATCAACAAACAACGATATAAAATCATGGATGGGGGAGGTGAAAGTCAAAATCAAAATGACCTAAACTCAATAACCTACTTACATTTAATTTCAATGGCAACAAATTTATTTTAAAATGAATTATTTTCTACTTAAAACTTTATCATATCTTTAATATTTCAAACTCTAGTTCAGAACACATTATTTTGGACATAGATTACTCTTTAAAAAAGCCGTAAAACATGCAGAGAATGTTTTTCTATATCATTCACAACCAGCCTAATTTAGAATTGTACTGTCACCAATGACAAACAAATGTAATATTTTATTAGGATTGGAATGTAAAGTAATGATTAGTCAGTTCTAGATATGATTTAGTGAGCTAAGAAAAAATGAAAAATACTTATTTCAAAATTTTATTTTCTAATTTTAACAAAAGCACTCTATAAATTATCAGTAATGAATAATGGACCTAACAGTTTTAAATTTATTTTTTAAAACTTTTACAAAAAAATGTGCCTTAACACAACTGCGTTTTCTCTGAACTTATTTTATTATATTCCATATAGTTAATAAGTTTGTTCTAAATATTTTATGACTACTTTCATCAATGGTTCCTGGTTTTGACCTAATTACAATTCTCAAACAAATCTTTAAAAAAAAAGCTGTTATATTCCTCATATATCTTTATAATTGTAAATGCTACACTACCCAGCTTCCCTTACTCTGAAAATATATGAACACCATCCTCTTCTTGAAACCTGGCAAACTAAAGCCTCACCACATAATCTTAGTTTACTCCTCATCATATCCAAAGCAGTTGAAAAACTTCTTCCTACAAGACGGTCTGCCAAAATTTAACTCCTCTAACCTTCCATATCATCAATTTGGCTTTCCTTCTCACCATTCCACAGTTCAAGTGTTTCATTTTGTAGACAACATATCTTCCTCCCGTGAGCGCAATAAATATTGTATGGGAGCCTTTTTTGATGTAGCCACAAGCGTTCAACCCTGTGGCACAAGGGTCTCTTGTACAAATTAAGCAAGTCCTTCCAAGTACCTACTACTTAATCCTCCACACTTATCTGTCACAGCAGTTCTTTCAGGACAGATTACTCTAACTACTGTTCTCTGCCTGCAGAATGCACCATAGGGCAGTGTGCTTGGACTAATACTCCATATCCTTTATACCGCAAATGTCTCAATTACACCTACCACCATCGCATTTTTTGCCAATGGCATGGCTGTACTATCCTCTGACCTCAATTTATCCGCGGAAGATCTGCAGAGACATAACACATGTATAGCAGACTCGGATAGACACTAGAAAATGCGTCCTTGTCACATTTACTCTGAAGCAAATCTCTTCTCACAATATAGTGCAACAATGTTTATATCCCCAAATCTGACTGCATTCATTACCTTGGGTTACACCTAGACCCACGTTTAACATAGAATCAACATACATGACTAAACCAACAAGACTTAAACACACTTCACAATAAGACTTTTTCATAACCCCAATAGTTTCGGATCTCATCCAAATTCATAAGGTGTTCCAAGAGAAAATGGCCCTGGTGTAATGTCGAATTCAGCGACTCAATTGCGTTGGTGGTGTAGATCTCCTTACCAATTTCTGTTGGAAGATCAAACAGTACTATCAGCTGTGTCCAGTTTTTCTTCCACGACTATCTCCTTTATGAGGAATAGGTAGTGAAGCACAATTAGTTAAGTAAATGGGAGAACAATATTAGTTTTCCTCCCCCCCCCTCAATGCAACCATGAAATAGTTGTAAATATATCTATTAAGCCTTAAATTAATTGTTGTAATCAGAAATTTGCACATTGCAATAAAATATTGGGGAAAAAAAGGACATTTTTATCAATGGGGACTTGATAAAACTCCATATATATATTTTTTTATTTCTGTATTTCAGTGTGCCTATTCTTGCCATTTGGTCTATCATCATCTTACATGCTGGGTCTGTCAAACCCTAACAACAACCTGACAATTTATACATGATCTAGGGGATGGGCAACAATGGTCATTCAAAACCTTTTAGGGTAGGCGAGCCCAGATGGTCAGCATATGCACTTCTTCGTTGTTTGGGTTTATCATCGTTCAGATTCTTCGAGATGAAAGGCACATAACAAGGCAGATTTTACTGACCTTTACCATTTTATAAAAGCAGTCAATATTATCATTATCACCGTTTTAGGGTAGGTGAGCCCAGATGGTCAGCATGTACACTTGCAAGTTGTTTGGGACATCATTGCTCAAATTATTCGACATTAGAAGGCACATTTTACTGACCTATACCATTTTATAAAAGCAATCAATATTAGTGTGTAGTGACCGTTAGTTAATGATTGTTTGGAGATCGTGAGATATGGTCTGGTGGGATGGTAGGTTTCAGAAAAACATTTTCTTTATCGTGCCAACGTTTCGATCTTTATTGAGATCATCTTCAGGGCCTGGGATTTATAAACATTGTTTAAATCTTCAGGGCTCAAAATATTTGTTTTCTGTGTAATTGTGGCATTCTTGCGTGTCGTGTTGAGAGTTTCGTTGACAGATTATTTATTGTAATGTACGTTCTATTAGTCATTTATTTTTTTCAAGCATAATTTTTTTAAAATCCATCGTCGATNTATCGTGCCAACGTTTCGATCTTTATTGAGATCATCTTCAGGGCCTGGGATTTATAAACATTGTTTAAATTTTACAAATACATGTAGGATGTGGAAAAAAATGTCAATATTATTGTTATCACTAATGTTTTAGGATAGGTGAGCCCAGAGGTAGGCATGTACACTTATAAGTCCTCTGGGATTATCGTCGTTCTTATTCTTTTAAATGAAGCCTCATAGCTTGACGGATAGGGTCAGGTTTGACATTTTTATATAAGTAGTCATTATCAGTGATTTATTTTCCCCCAATTAACAACTTTTCTTATGTAATAAACCATAAAATTGCAATTACTGTACAATAATCACGTCTTATTCAGGGTAAAATAATTTATCAACTAAACTTTCAAGAGATATTTAAACCTGAATTCTCTGTAACAATTTACGGGCAATTTGGGAGGAGCTCGGGCATATTATGCAAGTGAAGAATTTTGTAACCGATTGTACTAAAGTATTTTGTGTTTTAACGATTTGACGCTTTTGAGTTAACTCATATCTGTAATCTAGCCTTCAGTTGGCTGTACTTTTTATGATTGAGAAAGAAGATATTTTTAAAGGGAGGAATGGTTGAAAAAGAGGATAAATAAAATAATAATTTAGCGCGATAACGATAACAAACGATCTTACACGATTGAAAACAATAAACCCTATAGATCGTTGTTTGTCCCACCAATGAACAATCAATTCATCCGGGCAATAACTGTAATAATGGGAATTATTAGGCCGAGGAAACAAGAAATTAAATATATCAAAACGGATGTGACAAGTGAGAGGGACGTTGCTATTATTTTTATCTTATTTAAACAGGGGGTTGGAACGAATCAAGGACGGCAGTGATAAGAAGGCGGCTTGTAAGCTGGGAACGTTTAGAAGCGAAAAATATTCAAGTCCGGTCCCAGAAGGGCGGAAAACGGTCGAGATCCAGAGAAGCGGGCGCGGAGAGGCGTAGAACGGAACGTTTCGATTTAAAACGGAAACGAGACGAAACTTAAAATATTGCCACACAGCGGATAGGAAAATCGACAGCCGACTCGCGCCCCGTGACATGTATTCGTTTTTCACCGATTTTAATAAAAATTAAAAGGGCGAGAAGTCGATCGAGAGAAGTAATTTCGTCCGGCGGTGAGAGACGAGACTCGAGATTGAACGGCCCAGATGCAATCACAAATAACGCTCGCCGTTCCTCGAAACGGGCGAAATACGAGTGGAAAGGTGGAAAAAAAAAGTCGTCAACACTCACCCAAAAGTAGTCTCGGAAGTCGACGGTCATTTTTCCTGTTTAGACAAACGTCGACGGCCGCATATAAACAAAGACGGGGAAAGAGACCAGAAGAAAACGTCCAATAAAGTCTAAATAAAATGGTAAACAAGCGCCGAAGGTATCAGTCGAAGTGGAACATGGTCGTGGAGGGACGAGCGAGAGGGCGCCGTCGTGACGTCACAGCCGCATTCGTCCGCCCCGTCGTTCATTGAATCGGATCGGGCCCGAGAGGAGAGAAGTAGAGAAGAAGAAGCAGGGCCGGCTTCGCAGTTCGCCCGTTCGCCGCGCCCGCCCACTACCCTAATTCGTACCCGCTTATACTCACACGAATAACCCCCCCCCCCTCCAAAAAAACAATTATCAATTTTAGTTGTATGTAATACTCGGACGGATAAATTTAACTCACTCAATTTATTTAACTTAAAATTAAATCCATTATCTTTGTACATTAGTAAATTAGGAGCTTTTGGAGTAGGCAAAATAACGCTTTGTTTTCTTTTGTACAAAAAGTAGCATTATGCCTTTCCGTTCTGCTATGCTTAAAGATTGCTTTCAGTTAATCTTTTTCCTTCCTTGATTTCATTTGATATTCTTATTCTTAAACTTGTTGTGACTTGTTTCTTTATTTTACCTTTTTGGTTGTTTTTACGGTATTTACCTGTTGCAGCTCAATTCCTTTTAATTGTTTCAATTAATTTTTCTTTCTTTCATTAATTCATTTACTCTATTCTTTATATTTATTCTTTTTTTTATTCATATATTATTATAAGCAAAAATATATATACACTAAGAGGCCAAAAATTCCACCAACTTAACTTGATTTGTACATATTTTTATATATTAATCAAAGTTTCACGTTTTTTAAACTATAATAATTGAGTCTTTGTCTAAAAAAGTAAAAAAAAAGTAAATTGCTAAGGAAAATAAAAAAAAAGAAGAAAGTTTTAATTTTGTTTTAGATTTTTAATTAACATTTCAATATTGCGTATTGCCTCCTCTTGCCTTAATCTCGTGATCTCGAAGACACCTCAGTATACTTTCTACCAGTCTTGAAATGTCTCTTTGCTGGAGGTTGACCATTCTTTCCAACCATTCTAAAGAACAAAGAGTCCTTTCAAGATCGTGGAGTGAATGAGGAAGTGATGGGCGTGCTCTTATTCATCTTTTGATGTTATCCTATAGATGTTCAATGGGGTTCAAGTCTGGAGAACGGGCTGACCATGCTCAGGCCCTGATGTTAAGCTGTTAAAGGTACATGTGGACGGGCATTACCATGCATTAGAATGGGTTTGTCACTGATTTCAACGAGGATAGGCAATGCATGATGTTCCAAAATTTCATCCACATAGCAAGTGGAATCTCCATGATCAACAACCAACTCTGTGCGACTCTCCATTGAAATCCCTTGAAAAGATCTTTAAGGCAAACAATTTAAATTAGTAAGAACCAATATATGAAAGAAAAGTTTCACAACTCAAAAAGGAGTGGTTTTTTAGGGGTAGTACAATTAGATTTTTAAAGTTTTTCCTTTTCGCTGAAGTCTTGGACAAAGGAGAGACAATATTGATTAATCATGGCAGTTTTTATTGCGATCAACCATAATGGTGTGAACTTAATTCATAAGTATAGTGATTTTTTTTTCAGAGTTTCTCCTGCATTGTTCGACCTACATGAAGACAATTTTGATGGTCTGTGTCTCAACAAGTTGCGATGGCAATTTAAGCTTAGAAGTGAGGTTTTGCACTTAAAGTTGGCTGTTTGGGTTAAGAGCCAATATTTGCAAGAAAAGTGTTACAACTCAAAAAGGGGTAGTTTTTTAGGGGTAGTACAGCTGTATTTTTAAAGTTTTGCCTTTTTGCTTAAGTCTTGGACAAATAAAAGACAATATTTGTGAATCATGCCAATTTTTATTGCCATCAACCATAATGGCGTGCACTTAATACTGAAGTCAAAAGAAAAGTGAACTTCCATCTCTCTCCTGATTTTTTTTTTTTTTTTTTTAGTTGTGTCACTTTTCTTGTGGGTGTGCAGTATATTTTCGGAGAAATGTGCTAGATGTATTTATTGCCATCAACCATGACGGCGTGTACTTAATACTTAGGTCAAAAGAAAAGTAAACCTTCATCTGTCTCTCCTGTGAGATTTTTTTTCGAGCTGTGTCACTTTTCTTGTGAGTGTGCGATGTGTAAGTGCTGTGTTGTGTCAGTGTGAGACGTCAGTGTAAGGGAATTTTGGGCGCGTTGAGTTTTCGCCGTGTCGAAGGCGCTTCGTTGGCCTTCCTCGGTGAAACCTTTGTAACCAATCGTGATCCTCCTCCAACCAGTCTCCTTCTGTCCATACGTGGACGTTTTTTTTGTAGTTGTTACCAATGAACGTTTAAAAATCGGCCCTTAAATTTATTATTTTTTCCTCCCCTCGTCAATATGCATTCGTTTTTGAGCAGAGGAAATGCAATTTTGGCCTACACTTTGAGCCTTTTGGCCTGTTTGACATTTTTGTGCTTTCTTTCTACCCTGTTTGTAGATTACCGGACTGGTTCCTCGATAAACACAGTCAAAGTCGTAGTGTAAGTGTTGAGCATTTTGTATTTTTTGTTTAATTTTATTATATTACCCGTTGGGCGGAATTGCAAACGGGATTAGTTTCCGTCTGTTTTTTCTCGATTTCGGCTTCTTTTTGAGAATCGTCAACAAAAAAATCATAGCCCTTTTTCATCAATATATTGAAAATGTTTCTCTCTATCTCACCAGTTGTTAGCAATCCGTAAGCCAACGTACAATTTTATAAATTCCACATTTATTAATTTTTTTTGTTATAGAATATTTTATCCATTTGCTTACAGGTAAATGTTGATTAAGTTGAAAACCAGCACATTTATTTCTATACTGAACTGCGTTCAGTTGTTAAAACCACATTCGGTTTGAACCCGTCTGAAAGAACTGGTAAGAAGGACTCTCGAATGTATGCCATGGCGCGTTATTCTGTTGTACAAACACCGCATAAATGGATTGTTGACACGAATATGGAGTTTTTTTTTTTGGGGGGGGGGAGGGGGTTGATGCAGAATATAATTTTTTCCTCCAATGAGATTTAAACAGATCTATTTTGGAACCCCTATAGCTTGTAGCCATACCTTGAAAAGTGCGCTCTTATACAACTGAGCCCTTTCCTTGGTGCTTTGTGGATCTCCTTGGATATGAGAAACGTCCTCCCTAAGTGGCTGTACCGTAAACGGTTTAATGCTTTACACTCGCAAAGGATATGTGCCGATGTCTCTGGGTCGTCCTGCCAGAGCCAGCGTGTTTCCGTCTCAGTTTTGCCCTTCTTCTTCAGATGGTAGTGGATGGTATAGGGGCCTATAATTCTCAAATCCTGCCTGATGAGAGAGAGTTTTTTCTATTTAACTTTTGAGATATATATAAATCTCTTGGCCTACCTCATACCTGGAGTGTTTGAGCTCTTATTTCTCATTTCATTTTTCTGGTTCCAACTTAAGCACACAGTCCGTGCACCTAGTTGTGGTTCTGGTCCCATGGGTAAGAGGGTCGCCCCTTTTAGGCCAGTGGTCAGCCTGTTCATGCTTGTACGCCTTCGTGTCCGGGAACCCACTAGGTACTTCCAGAGTAGTATATCGCATGGATGAATAAATGATCAATCTGCAAAGTTCATCACCGCTGAAATCTCTATAATATTTCATGAGATACCTTATACTGATAAAAATATATATTCATTTAAGAACATTTAATTTTATAAAAATTTCTTACAGTCGTGTTTAATTTTTCAGGAAAAATGTACCAGACTACAGTGCATCACGGGAAAAATGTGATTTAGGATTTATAACATTCGACCTCCAAGCAAATTTGACAAATCTGTTCAATTGGAATGTCAAACAGTTGTTTTTGTACTTAACGGCTGAGTACTCAACACCCAACAACGTCTTAAATCAAGTTAATACCATAGGACTTCATTTTTTGGGGGGTAATTTAATATAAGCTACATCACCTTTAACATTCTAACATTTCAGATCATTTTGTGGGATAAAATAATTCTCCGAGGGGACAATGCTGTATTAGATTTCAAAAATATGAACACCAAGTATTATTTCTGGGACGATGGCAATGGTCTAAGGTGCGTGTAATTTTTTATTTAGTTTTTAATTTTCTTAGTACAATTTTGTACTTATTTATTACTTTTTCCTCTAGGGGGAATCAGAATGTATCACTATCCTTATCTTGGAATATCATCCCCAATGCTGGACTTCTGCCAAGCATAGTTGCACATGGACAGCATACATTCCACTTTCCGACTGAATACACTGTTTCGAGACTTTAATAAATAAATGTGTAATCAATATAAAATGATTTGTGATTTTTCCTTTTTTTATAGAAAAGTTTTATTATTATAATGCTTTGAATATTTTCTACGCATAATAGAAAACTGGGGGCAGGATTATAAAGAAGCAAAATATTGTGAACAACAATCGTTACACATAACTAATTGTTTATAAACAGACATGTATCTTTCTTCATTGTACATTGAAAAATTAAACTGTGCTAACAAAAGTGATTATTATTTATAGTGGTACAGCCAATTGAAAATTAGTGAAATTAATTAAAATCACATTGGGAAATAAATTTAAAAAGTAGGTTTACAATTGGTGGTCACTCTTCAATTGTGCATATTTTGTATTTAATATGGCAAAAGTGTGTTATTGGAAATTCTGCTCCAAGCTTGAATGAAATATTCAATGATGTACATAAATTGTACATTACAAGTGTATCATAAGAGTAGTTTTACTCTGTATTGCCTTAAAACTGTGAACTAAAGACAAAATATCATGTGCGGGTGAACACAACTTTTGGAAATATATAGATATTATTATTTTTTCTTAAATGTTACTTTATTCAGTGATAGATTACAAATTACATTTAGCCTGTAAATACTGTGATGTTACTTCAGTGTTTGAAACTTAGAGTAAACATTCAATTTTTATAGTTTTGTATTTTATTTTGTTTATTTCTTCTGACCAAACTGCTTAAATTGAAATGATTGAAACAAGTCGGAATGTGAACCTTAAAAATTGTTGCTATTGATTTTTAAAAGTTTTATTTATTTAATCTTGTAGGATAAGATCCGAGCTCTATAATAGTTAAATAAACAAAATCTTTTGAAACTGGATGTAAAATTATATATAAATAGATTAAGTATTTCATTAGATCAATAAAAATGTAATTTTTGTCATTATTGTATTGTTGTTATTACTTTTTTATTTAAGCTAAAATTAAGAGTCGTTAACAAATAATAGATCAACATTGAGAAATCAGTCGCCATATTTGTGATAACATACATTTTTATAGGTGTGGATATGTTTTATCATCTAGAAAGGGTGTAGATAATTATTTATTTAATTAATTTTTTGAAAAATAGGGGTTTATTAACTATGAAGTTGTATGAACCCACGGGCTGCCGTGTTTAAAAAAATTGATACCTTTGTCTTACAGTGATGAGCGGAGGAGTGTCGTGTTGATACTTGAACCATTGTGGCCACCGACTCCCCTATAGATTGTATAGCTATAGATCTTTAAATATACATTATCTTCAGTATTTAAAAAAAAAAAAAAATGCCCTGTAAGTCAAGTTTATTTTACATGTACAATTTAGGTACATCGGTGACTGCAGGAGTTAAGACATAAAGCACTCATCACTGTAAGATAAAGGTCCTGGGTTTGAATCCAGTGGCCTTGCATTTGAACCCAACATACTTACAAATGGACATTTTTTCAAAAACACGCACCCTGGGGGTTGATATGATCTCTACTGTTGTGAACCCCAGCACTAGTTCATTTACTGGGTCCATGTACACTTGCAGGTTTAATTTTCACTCGAATGCTTTTGGCTAATCACCATATTTAGTGAGAAACTTGTCTTCAAGTGTTCCTGTAACCTTGGATTGAAACAAATATGCTGATGATGGGAAAGAAGGCATCCACTAATAAAATAATAATGCCTGTTCATGTCGCTTTATATATAAAAATTATCCAAAAAAAATCTAATCTAGAGAAACAACCTAAAGATAAAGAAAAAAAAATGTTTGAAATGGGAGAATCTTTGTTTACATTGAATTATCACCCCTTCATTTAAATTTATTTGTTCTTAAATTAATTACCCTTCATTTAATGCATGAGTGTAGACAGACCCAGAACCAGTTCGCAACACAATTTATGTTCAGCTTTATAATGGCCGTTAGTACTGGCGAATGAAAGAAAAACTGAATACCTCACAAAATAAGAGAAATGGGAAATCGTGAATCTATATCTAATAACTAATTGCCTATGGTTTTATATATCAGTAGAATATACATTCTACAAAAGTTATTGCTATATATATTATTTTTTAACTGTACAGCTTAGTCTCATAGAAAAAGTGACAATATACGCTGTGAGGCAAAAAAAGTGGTCACCTTTAAAATTTTAAATTATCACTTAGACAAACCTACATAGTTTATTTTCCAACAATATTTGGTCTGTTTTAAAGGATTGAAGTAAATAAAACAGAGATAAAATCTCTCACTTGTGTTTACAATTGGATTTTGGAAATAAATCTTTGAAAGTCAATTTCTTCTTTATTAGTTGTTCTAGTTCAAATTTGTTTTAGTGATGATTTTAAGTGATTCAGATTTGGCTAGAACCATAGCATTGTTGGAAAATGGAAGAAGACAAAGACAAACGTATATGGGCAGGGTGGTTAACATCCCCAGCACAACTGTCCGAAGGGTCTTAGATATTGGAGTTTACTCAAGAAGGCATGGATCATGTCGTCATCCTGTCACATCATAAAGATGATTGTTTTATTGTTTCAAATGTACTCCATAATCAACATTCTGCTGCTGTTGAGATCAAGCAACGACTTCAACAAGTCAGAAATGTAGCTGGCTTATGTGCGAGAAGGCTTCTGACAATGCAAAGAACAGCTCGGTTAAGTTCCGCAAGAAATCAAATCAATTGGTCTGAGCAAGACTAAAAGCTTGTTTTCGGATTAGTCAAGGTTTTGTTTGAGGTCTTCGGACCATCGAGAAAGGGTCTGAAGAAGAACCGGAAAGCGATATATATCCCTGCAACATTTACACTGCGGAGAATGGTGGTGGTGTTATGTTCAGGCACGCATTTCTATGGAAGGTCGCACAAACTTGATCACCGAGTGTTCCCTAACAACTGTGCGATACACTGAAGATTTGTTGTCAGAAGAAGTTGTTCTTTATATGCCACTTATTATTTTTGCATGTCTTATTTTTTTGCATGGCAATGCAAGGTTCCAAACAGCTAGGCTCATTAGTGACTACATGGAGCGTGCTTCAATTTAATGTTTGGAGTGGCCAGCATGTAGTCCCAACTTAAGTCCTATTGAACACCTCTGTTGAGTTGTCAAAGAGGGTGAAATGTCACCTCATGATGCCAGAGAATTTGTAGGAATTAAGTATGGCGCTGTTTTCAGAATATGAAAATATGCCACAGTACAACGTACAAAACCTCATAAGATCGATGCCACGTTGAATGCAAGTGGTGTTCAACGCAAGAGTAGACTCCATACTGAATTGAATACTGTCTTCAAGCATTTTTGATAAAATTGTTTTATTCAGTTTATTTATTTAGCTATATTTTATTGTTTTCTTTAATAATATCCAGTAGGGGGGGAAAACGAGGGTGGACATTTTTTATGCCTCTCAGTGTATATATGTACTAATTTTTTTATTGGCATTTATGTCGTTTGTTAAATTATATAATCCTAAACAAATATATAATAATAATTTATTAGAAAAGGTATAACTTAATGACATTCACACGGACGCCGGAGGAACGGATCAACTGTAATACTGAACTTCTAAGTTCTAGCGCAGTGACAGACTTAGTTTCGTTATTTTTTATTTCTGTAAGGCGATCAACGCAAGGCAAACGAACGGTTCTTTTTATGAAGTGAATAGTTCATTCCGTTCATCACTGCAATGCAGGAACGACATCGTTCTCGTTCTCAGCTCTCCGTTCACAGTTCACAGTGTTTTTAAAAGGGGGAAAAATTTCATCGTAAAATTCTCGAGAAAAAAAATTACTCTTCTTTTCGGAACCGAATCCTTAACAAATGGAATAGGACCGAATGACAAAACAGACAAAGAGGGGTTGGAGAAAAATTTGAAAACCGTTCAGATCTATTTTTTTCTCCCTCGATTCGTTCTTTGCAACGGGTCTTTCAGTCTTTGGATTGAACGTGCACACTGTCAAGTCTAGGTCGATCCTCGATCAGCTGACTTCTGATAGTTGTCGAAATGGCAGCCGCCGCTATTCGATATTCCCAAGCTTCAAGTAAGAATTTCCTTGTATTTTCAGCGTAATCTGAAAAAATACATTGTTGGAAAATTGTTCGAGCAGTACGACTGTTGAAATAAATCCTCCTCGCCTTGTCGTTTCTTTAACAAAATAAAAAGGAGGTTTCATACGGTTATAAATAGATTATTTTGTTCTGAAATTTATAAAAAGTTAATATTTGCCTTTAAATTAAGATTATGTATTTAAAAAACACCTACTATTTCTTTTATTATTTTTTGCCTTTGGACCAATGGACAAATAATTATGGAAAAAATGGTTAAACAAGAGCACAGTAGCTCAAAAAAGTGTAGGCAATTTTGCTTTTTTAATTATTCCCTAACACTAAGCTTGGGTTTTTATTTAAATCTATGAAGGCTCAAATCCGCACTTGTATGTACATACGTACAAACATTACAGAGTATATACATATGCTAAAATGGTGGGGATTGAGGATAGGTACTGTATAATTTCTTCAAAATAATTTTCACATTCCTCTCTCCATTTGAACTTTACATTTTTCTGTAATAAAGTGTGTAATGGTGCTAAACTTTATGTGAAGTGGTCAATAAGTTGTGTTGAATAAAAGTTGGCGAACCATCTTTCTTGTAGGACGTTTGAATGTTTGATTGCGCCAAGATTATCTTGATGGGATAAAATTTACCATTTTTTTAAAAATCACATGTCCTAAATACTTTACAGAATGCATAGTAAAACCACATTTCGTTAATTTCAATTTAAATCCTTCTTTTTTAACTGCTTCAAAAAATAATCTAATGTGTTGTAAATGTTGATGGAATGATTTAGAATAGATCAATATATCATTTGTATATTTGACACATAATTTATCTAATTTATATTTTCAAATTATATTTGCTAAAATTCTTTGAAATATAGCTGAAGAATGGATTTGGATTTATACAGGCCCAAATCCGCACATGCACGTACATACACAAAAACACCGAGTTGACCGATTCGTTTTTCATAGTCCACCAGCAATTCCAGCTTTTGCTTTTTATAGTGAATTGCTGGCAGACTCGAGAATCACCCGCCAACACCTGGGGCAGTCCGGGAGTGAACTTCTGTCTTATCCGTCCAGCCCCAGGTTGAGCTCCTGGTGGGGTGCTGTCAACAGGCTAGGTCAATTCAGCGCCCAGCGCATGCAGTTTCAAACCAACATTCATTCTCAAATACATTCATTACTATTTACATACCGTTCATTCAATTAGGGTGGTGGAGTACACAATATAATTCCATCACCCTTTACCCTTAATTAACCTAATTGAGGGTTAGTGGTCAGGGATGGACTCAATATTCCATCTCACATCACACAGTCACGCTAATAAATAATCCACTCTCAACATCAGCTCAGTTACAGAACTATTATTACTATATACAATAGAACAACCCTGTTTCCTCCAAGAATCGGAACAGGGGACCCAGATGATTGCTGCTGTGCTCAAGCACAATTCTCAAATCTCTCTGTATGTAGCCAAGGAATTGCAACTTTCAGTTAGGTGGGACACATCAAACAACCTTTCTCTGCCTGCTGGACACATACGCAGGCTTTAGCCCAAAAGTAAGTGTCCGTGTGTCAGCCTCGTATGGCCTATTTTTAATCGGGTGAGGACGACCCTTCTTCTATGAGTCAGATCCTCTAGAGGCCACCCATCGACAGTGCTCTCAATATGCGAGAGCTTCTCTGTCGATCTGGCCCATTAATGCTGCCACCTTCTTTTATTCATGTTTTTTATTAATGTTGTCCTCTTAATGTTGTCAGAGGGACGAATCCTGGTGGTTGTCTGGCATGTGGGACGTCCCAGCCTTAGCCGCCTTGTCCACCTTGGTTTTTAAATTTAAGTTAATTTGAATTTAAATATATTCTAATTACCTAAGTAGTGTGGTAAATAGATAATTGAATAGTGAAAAGTCATGTGGATGTCTAAATTTTTCATTAAAAACACATTAAAAATGCCTCATAAAGAATTGTTATTTATAACATAAAAAAAAATCAAATAGTTATTTTACCGAATGGTCTAACTTACCGACTAGTTGGTGAAAAGTTAAAATTAAATTTATTTACCTTGAGAACAGTCGTGGAAAATCTAAAAACATTGGGTCGGTTGAAATTTTAAAATGAAATGGACCCCCAATAATATTCAGGCAGATAGAAACAATATATTAATAAAAAAAAGGTAAGGAAAGACTAATTTATCAGTGGGCTAGGCTTGATGTTGGATGTGGCAAATTGTATAGGCAAATTTTAATGTGCTGAAACAGTAAGAAATGTTTATTTAGAGATTGTGAGATGCAGTCCGGTGTGATGTTGGTTTAGGAAAACATTTTCTTTATTGTGCCAACGTTGTAAGAGCCGCTTAAAAAAAAAAAAAAAAAAAAAAAAAAAAAAAAAAAAAAAAAAAAAAAAAAAAAAAAAAAAAAAAAAAAAAAAAAAAAAAAAAACTGGGATTGTTGATTTAGCATTTATTGACAACATTATGACTTTTGATGTATACATCAATATGTTTCGTCAAAATTTAAGGAACATTGCGGTGAAACTATAATTAGAAAGGACAGTAGAAAATAAATGTTATCTTTTAAAATGTCTAAGTTTCATTCTTGTAGAACAGCTAGATGTATGATATTATGAAGCCAAGGGGGAGCTAAAGCAAAAAAAAAGCTTCATTCTTTGTACTGTTACAATTAAATCTACAAAAATAAAAAATAAAAAACAAATTTGCCTAAACTTTTTTGTACAAAATTAGTAGTGCTGGCGCTAGCAAATAACAGAAACAGATCCATTTGTTTAAACAAATTATTTTTAATTGGGTCAAAAGGCAGAAAAACACAGTGACAAATGCTTCACCTAAACTTGCAAATGTGCAAAATCTTAAATTGTATTAGTTAATGATTAATATCTTACAGAGTTATGTGTACCAATATGCGGCTCTATTCAGCAATGCTACATGAGCTCAGATGGTTCAAAGCGAGTAAGCCTAGCTAAAATGAAAAGGGGTACAGGTGGTAGGTCGAGTTTCAATGGGCTCGTTTGCACCGTATTTGGTTCATCTGGATTCATGGGTCGATACGTTTGCAACAAGTTAGGCAAAATAGGATCCCAAGTATTTATTTATAATTTTAATCTAACATCAATAAACTGTGTGATTCTATTAAATTGATTTGTTTCTATAGCTAATTTTGCCGTACAGGGGTGACGCTTATGACATGCGAATGTTAAAATTAGTTGGCGATTTGGGACAAGTGTTATTTCAGCCTTACTACCTACGAGATGAAGAATCAATATACAAATGCGTCCAATATTCTAACGTTGTGATAAACCTTGTTGGTAGAGATTGGGAAACGAAAAATTTTTCATTCCATGACGTCCATGTGAAAGGAGCTCGTTCAATAGCTAAAATGGCCAAGAAAGCAGGTGTTGAAACATTTGTTCATGTTTCGGCGTTGAATGCAACTGAGTATCCTGAAGTAATTATATACATTATTTATTTACGAGGGAATTTTGTATTAATTATTGTGTTGTAGCCTTACATGCTTAAAGGAGGTTCCAAATTTTTGGCTAGTAAATGGGAAGGTGAAAACGCCGTTAGGGAAGAGTTCCCAGAAGCAATTATTTTCAGACCGTCAGATATTTACGGCCAGGAAGATAGATTTTTGAGGTAAAATAATTTTTCTTTAGTATTACTTCTAGAATAAAAAGTACATATCAATAGAGTTAATGGAAATAGTGAAATTAAAAATAGTGAAATAGTGATTTTTTCCCATTTTTTTTCTGTTACCACTGTACAATTATTTAATTTGTATTTGCAGTAACCACTTTTTGCAGTATTAAGTTTCAAATTTGATGAAATAGCCACATCCTTGTTAATTGGTATTTACATGTTTTCAACTACCAACCCTCACAATTATGATGGTTTAAATGCGATTGAAAAAAGGATTAATTTGGTTTTAAAAAAAGGTTAATTCGGTTGAAAAAGGTTTAATTTGACAGAAAAATGCTATACACTAAATTTCTAAATTTCCTACCCTACAAATAGCCACTTGTTAATGTCTGCTTGATTTAAATGTTTCTAATTACATAACTGAGTTTTTCTTTTATTTAGTTTTGTCATACGCTTAAATTGTAAAGATTTGAAAATCCAATCTTATTTTTGAAAATTCATTTTGTTTTATTTTCATCTAATTTTATATTTGCCAATTTTGTTTCTGTTGTTATTTCACAACTACTCCTTGGCTTAAATAAGTCTGTGTCTGTCGTTTGGAAATAAAGAAACAAACGTACAATTTTGTAATGTTTTCATTAATAAAAGATAATAATTATTACCATTCCATATATGTTTAGAGGTCATAATTGACCATATTAATTATTTCAATTAATTATTCGATTTATCTAAGGTTTTGGTTGAGATGAAAAAGTCAGTGTCACGAGCGGGATTCGAACCCACGACATCTAATAGATGGTTTTTGTTATAGATATTATTGTAGTAATATGAGACATCAACTGAAATTTATGCCTTTATACAAGAAAGGTGAATATACTGAAAAACAACCTGTGTTTGTTGAGGATGTGGCTGCAGGTATTGTTAATGCTTGCAAAGACAGGATGGCGAGAGGGAATGTTTACCAGGCTGTGGGGTAAATTTTTTTCTTACTTTCTCATGTAAAATTTATTTTTAGACAATTTGTTCAAATTAAATGTTTTTTTATCTTTCAGCCCCAATCGTTATCTTCTTTCGGAATTAGTCGATTGGTTCCATCGTGTGACTCGGAAAGCCGGCAGTTGGGATTATTTTAGGTACGATATGAGATTTGACCCGTTATTCCAGATGCGTGTTTCCTTGATGCCATACTTCTCTCTTGGATTCCCTTTGGGCAATATTCATTGGGAAAGAGTTGAAAGGGTGCGTTTATTTTTTCTTCCTTGTCTTGCTATGTTATAGTTTTTAATTATTGTGTAATAAAGAATATGTATTATAATCTCAAAAAATGGATTTTTTGTTTTGAATTGAAATTGAAATAAAATAATAAAGCGTACATTTGAAAGTGTTGTCGGTGTGTTACATGACAACAGTGGAAAATTGTATTTATCAAAGTTGTCATTAGGTAATTAACAATAATACTTATATTGTAATATAATTATTATGAAATATGTTTTTTTTTAAATCATACAAGATTTAATATTGAGTTGATTTTATACTAAATTACACATTTATATTTTTATTTTAGGAGTGTCACTCAGATCAAGTTGACAAAAACGTAAAAACCTTGGAAGATCTTGGTGTTTCCCTTACCTACATGGAAAACCAGGTTCCTTGGGAACTCAGAGTGTACAGGGCTCAAGCGTATTACGAAGAAGAGTTAGGTGAATTCGATACACCTTCACCTCCACCAACAGTTGCTGTTTGAGTGAAAGCAGTTTCTGTGATGTAGTTAATTAAAATCTGACAATTGTACAAATATATTTTAAAGCCACGCTCTATTATTTATCCGATTTATTTGAATGAATGTGAAAATAAATATCTTAACGGATAATAAAAAGCAGCTTTGATATATGCCTTTTTATCATTTTCCTGAGTTAAATTTTATTATTTCCATAAATGGATAGTTTTACAAAGAATCACATTATTTGTGTTTTTCTTTCGAATAAAAATGCCAATGATTATGGGGAAAATGCTGATTCGCAGGCAAAAGTAATGAGTGTACCTTCTAAAAAAGCCAAAAATATTAATATAATTTTTTTCTTTTAAAAAAGAGCCAGTGTGGTACATATTTAACTCTTTCAGACTCCGAACAAACGTTTAATATTTTGAACCTGACTAGGAGTCTGAAAGAGTTAAATATGTACCACACTGGCTCTTTTTTTTAAATAACTGTTATAAAATAATTTTTTTCCAGATAGAATTGATTTCATGTGATGAGCAAAATGCTTAACAGTTTAAAAAAATCTATGAAAAATAAATGTGTATTTTATTGATCGTAGCCAAGATCCATATGGCTCTTTCTCTTTTAGCACAGTCTGGGAGGTGATAGAGTTGCTGAGAATGTCATGAAAGAGTTGACTCTCATTTTTAGATGATTTGGACTCCATTTAATTTGAGAGTCTGACACTGAGGACCACTTACGTACTGCCAAATTGTTTGACTAGAGTAAAATAGACTAATTGCTTAGCATCGAGGCTCACTGCCCTTGTTGATTAGTATTGAATGCAGGCTTTTTGTCTGCAATAGTTTATAATGTCGGTTATTCATGCTACATGAGCCATTCCTTTCCCTATCTTTGGAATCGATGAGTTCCCTGTATAGTCAAAACAATGCTGTAGATTAATTCCTCTTATGGGTGAAATAGACAAGAGTAGATTTTATAGTTCTGTTGTATTCGTGGAATACCAGATTTTATGAAAAGGTAGATGAACCGTCATTCTTTACTGAAACTGCAAGAAATGATGACGATTTTGAATAGAGTCATCCAGATGTGGTTTGATCTTGGCGAGTAGAGCTTCATGCCACACTGTCAAAGGTTTTTTCAGCAACTGAAAATAGTCCAATTTTATCCCCAGTTATTTTTATTCGTAGGTGATGAATATTTGATCTGTGACGTGGTGGAGTTGTTGCGGGCATGAGTGGAAATCCTTGCAACTGAACTGCTCAGGTTATAAGGTGACTGAGCATTATTTTCAGTTAAGGCAATAGTAATCGCCCAAATATTTTAGATGTAATGGACATTAGTCTTATTGGTCGATAATGACTGAGGTTATGTCTTTCTTGTGGGTCGTTATTATTTTGGTTTCCAAATTTTCGGGAATTAGAACGAATCATGGTGGTGTATGGCTGAGAAGGGGATGGGCTATAAATTATTTCTTTTTTATGTACAAGTACTTCAATCACTAGTTAAGTTTGGATTTTATTATGTGAATAATTTTTATTAGTATAATTATAACTTGAGGTCTCATAATAAATATTAGTGTAGATGTGGCAATTGTTCCCTTTTTGTTAAGTTAAGCAACAAGCGGTTTTTGATGAAATACACAAATACAGTTGGCATACAGAGTCCCACTATCACAACCTCTAGCTTCTTACTTATTCTCACCTTATTATCAGGCTCTTTTTAAATACATATCCCACAAAATATAGGCAGTAGACCCAGGAATAGACAGAACAATAATTGACTGAAATTGACAGTAACATTTGTATTTCTACAATTAATTAAGGTTTTTAGTTGAGATGAAAAAAGCTAATGGCGCGAGAGGGATTCGAACCCATGACCTTTGGCTAGATACGCTGCAGCTCTACCACCTGAGCTATCGTGACCTCGATCCACTCGGACATCAACTCCCCACCCCAACCCCACCTTATGAGTTTGAGAAACTAAAAACCTTAATTAATTGTAATGATTTGATTGGTCAAGCGGACCATGAAATTAGTTAATTTGTATTTCTCTTCAATTAACTGTTTGATAGGTTATTGTTTGCTTTAGTTTTTATTAGATTTAATAAGCTCTAGACAATAATACATTCAGATCATTGTATTCTGATCTCTGTGCACACCAAATATTCACTTCCTAAGTTTCACTCTGGTACATATTCAAAAATATGCATATGTTTATATATATGTTTGTTGGGAGAAGACTATTTCTTTGTACAACTAATTATTAATTACATAAATAAATAATAAAGTGGGACGTTTGTGGGTTGACAAACAGCTGAGTCTTCACCGGCCTTCTGCGTGTTTTCCTTTTTGTCTGGTCTTTCACGCATATTTTGGTTTAAACTACAGCCATTTGGGCGTCTCGATCTGGTTAATGGCTCTGCTTTTATATGCATACTACGATGATAACCTAAAAGCCTCTCCTTTATACCTCAAGTTGTCAACTACAGAATAGACACAAAACTTACAACACAAACATACACTGCAAACGTAGATGACTAGCACCCCCAGAGTACTCACTCAATATTCCTCAGAGTAGGGTTAAATAACCCCTTCCTTTCACGCTAATAAATTACATTCATTCCAATAGATTNTAGATATTAGACAATATAAGTTTAATTACAAAATAAATAATTTAATTACATATCACACTATCTGAAAATCATATTTCTGTACATCTTTAAAATGCTAAAAGTAATTTCTTTTCAATTAATTAATCTTTAATTATTGTCTTGGTTTATCTCAACCAAAACCTTAATTAAAGATTAATTAATTGAAAAGAATTTATTTGGTCAATCAGACTACGAAACCTAGAGCTAAAATATTAATTATATTAATTAAATGCAAATTATATTTTGAGAAACTTTCATTTATTCAATTACATTGGTTCTGCATATATATCATATTTTATTAACCAAAAACAATTTGTAGTTTGATTGCTCTTTGATCATACTAGCCAGTGCCTTTTCTTATTGGTTTGGCCTGTGAGTTGTGTGTGTGCATTTTGCCATCTTTAGTGTGACACAAACGCTCCACTGAAGATAGTAAAATGTCAAAACACAGCTGACAGACTAAAGCAGTGGGGATAGGATGACTAAGATGACCGGAAATAATCAAACTACAAGGCCTTCACCTCGGAGACCTCAAAAAAATATCAAAATACAATTTATTAGATGAACAAAATGCAACAATGAGCACACACGATTTATATATGTTGAATTCGAACGTTATCCTAATAACTTAATGAGATTTTCCCCCATGCTCTGCATCCTGAAACAATCATCTTTTGTTTTAATTATGAAGTTTTTTCAAACAAAAAATACAACTATTTAGTACATATTGTAAGTTACGGAAGTACAGTTTTGTTGCATAATATTTAGCGATTTTTTTTTTTTTTTTCATATAAGCAGTCAGTTATACATAAACTGGGATGGAAGGAGTATGTACCATATGACAATGACCAAACTTTGCAAGTCGCATAAAAATATATTTTATTATTTAAAAATATATAAACAATACTTATGTTATTTACAAAATGGAAGTATCTTGTATTATTATAACAAAAACAAAAACAACAAATTAAAGGTAGTTTTTCCAAAGCATTACTCGATTTCATTTAATTAAAATTTACTATCCATAGAACACATTATTTTCATTTATTTTTCTAAACATATTCACATAATTATCGAATGTTTGTTTAAAAATTAAAATATTTATGTTGTTGAAAAAGTATTTGTACATTTTAAGGATTTCACTCTTTAAAAACAGAAAGAGCTATGAAAAAAATATATACATGTTTGATCTTATAAATAAAATATAATACGCATAGTTGCAGTTTCAATGTAACAATGCATAACTAAGAAGAACAGTTGAAAAAAATAAATAAAAAGATCATATTTGCACCTCCTTTATATATTTTATCATTCATCAACTGTCCAGTCAAACCTTTGCACAAGTAAATCAAACTGAGTAATCCAAGGTTGTATACAAGGAATGTCGGAGAGAAATTAAATTAAAACAAGTTGGTAATAAAATTGGTAAAATCCCTTATTAGATTTTGAAAAAACATAACTCCTTTAGACTTATCCAATCTGTGATAAATGCACAAAAACAATCTTTTGGCAAACTCACAACAACAAATAAACATAAGTAGTTTATTATTGTTATTGAAATACTTTACAGCCATTTTTGAGAAGGCCATGAAAAATTTACTAAATTCAAACAAAAATTGTCATTAAGCAATTGATGATAAAATTATTGACCCAGTAACATAATAAATATATACTATACATTTCAAAAGCAGAGAAGCTAATTTTGTGGCGTTCTATTTTCACAATTCATTAAAAAAAATCGGCCAATTCATGTAAAAATCTAGATCATATATACTTCATTTTAGCATGTAAAGTTGCAAACATTCACATAACAGAAAATTACACATCAAGCAATATATATATCATAGTGTGTAAGTTTTATTGTCATTTATGTATTTTTATTATTCAGTATAAAAGTGACATAACTATTGTATTTACGAAGCAAAAAATCCTTGAACTGTTAAATGGTTTTGACTGTAAAAAAGGTACATAAATTAATTATACCATTAACTCATTCAATATAATTAATTAACACAAAAACTAGTGGGAAAGTTCCAGAAAGAAAATAATATTTATGCAAAAGAAGATAAGACACAATAAATTCATGTTGAATAAATAATTAATTATACTAAACTTGTGCTGATTGAGTGTTTTTAATTTTAAATTTGTCCAGTATATTGGGTTGGTGCAAAATTAATGCAGATTTTGAACATTTGTTTTATTTTTGCAGTAAACAAAGCTAAATCCTCAAATCTAATTGATGAATTATAATAAATACTTTTAACTGCTACTTTTTAAACAAAACATTTCAATTTGTATTGAATGTTATAAGAGTGAGGACTTGCGAAATAAAATATGTCTAAAATAAATTTTTGTCAAATTTGTTTGTACGAATTTAAACTTGGGCTAAGTGTGGACCAAGCCACACGTAACATCAATACAGTTTGGGGAGAGGGAAGTGTTAGCGAATACATGGTGCAGCGATGGTTTTAGAGATTTCGATCTTGAAGACAGGGGAGGTCGCTGCAGGCCTTCTGTTGTAAATGACGACTAACTCAAAACATTGATTGAAAAAAATTCATGTAAGACAACAAGGGAAATTACGAAAGAGCTTAGTGTTAACAACTCAACCGCTGTTTGCCATCTGGAGCAAATTGGGAAAATAAAGACTGCTCGACAAATGGGTACTGTACAAAATAAACGAGGCACAAATAAATCAAAGCTTTAAAATTTGCTCGTCTCTTCGGCGTGCCACCAAAATGATCCAGTTCTTGATTGAATCATCACGTGCGACGAGAAATGATTTGTAGGATAACAGGAAGCGTACAGGTCAATGGTTAGACAAGATGAAACACCAAAACACTTTGCGAAACCAAATCTGCACCCAAAAAAGGTTATGGTGACTGTTTGGTGGTGTACTGATGGGGTTGTTCACAGCAAAGAAATATTGCCCAGAAATTGACAAAATGCACAAGAAACTGCTATGCCTGTCTCCAGCATTGGTAAACTGATTCTTCTTCATCATAATGCCAGGCCACACTGCGGAAACTAAAGGACTTAGGATATGAAGCCATACCGCACCCTCCATATTCACCCAACCTCTCGCCTACCGACTTTCCCTTTTTTTTAGCCATTTTGATCACTTCTTGAGTGATAAAATTTTTAGAGAACACAGGGAAACGCTTATTGCGAATCGAAATAAAGATTTTTATGTCAGCAGAATAAAAGCACTTATTACACGTTGGGGAAAATGTCTAGATTGTGATAGAAAATGTTTCGAATAAATTTTCTTTATTTTATTAAAATTAAAAATTGTATTGACCTCCTTTTCAAAACCTACATTATTTTTGCACCAGCCCAATATATGTACTGACTAGAAAAAAATGACATCCACTAAAATTTTTAATTTGAAAATTCAAAGTTGAGATAATAAATTTGCCTAATGTTATCAAGTTCATATTTGTTTTCCTTTGCATAAAAATTATACTAACAGTGTTACATAAATATAATAATTTGAAAAATAAACTTTTTTTCAAACTAATGTTCATTAACAAATAAAATAAACAATGTTATAAAAACCATTGTTTTCTTTGTGTGGTTTATATTTTTCCTAATAGAAAATTGTATACACATACCCACACACTGTTTTAATCATTGTCTTTTGTATTACAATTTTATTACATAATTTTTTTAAAAACTTTTTAACTGTTATTTTATAATGATAAATATTACTTTATATAAAGTTTTGAAGCTTAATAAACTGTCTGATATTTTTAGTTTTTGATATAGAAGGGTAAATCATAATTAATCTAATTGGTATAAATATTGCAAATATAAAAGACCAAATGAACATTCATACCACACCTATAATTCATGGTACAATAATTGATGTAATTCATATTTAATTTTTACACTTAAGGCTACACGGCATTGAATAATTGATTTGTCAAACTAGGTTAAAATTTGTTATATAAGCATGTCAATTTGAAGCACATCTTTAATAAAAGTGAAGAACTTATTTTAATAATAATATGTGTTATTATAATGTTATATATACTCTCACTCTGTTTTTTATTTCATTAATTCGTAAAATTTACAAATATATCACAAATTATTGTGTGATAACGGAATTCTACAAAATTTAAGTTTGCTGATAAATGTGTATTATTTATTCTTTAAGTGTATTATTTATTATTTATTCATTAAGTTACTATCATGTATCTATCCCAGTTTATACAATTTTACTTATTGAACACATGTCTCATACAAAATTGGTCATCTATATATAAAAAGAAATACTTTTATCTTTTCGGAAGATAAAATACATGTTATAAATCAAATATAATCCTAACGTGTGAATAGTTAATTTAAAAAATAAATACATATCACAATTTTTTTCAGGTAAGTTCTCTCTTAAAACGAAAGAAGGGTGCAAATGAGAATGGTAAAAAAGATGGTAGCTCAATAAAAAAAACTACACTCATTACATTTTTTAGGAAGGATTATCTAGAAATAAATGTTTACCTTTATTTTAGACGTTTCTTTTTTAGACGCTTTTTTTCTTCTTGTTCTTTCTGAATGTCTTCAAGATCTTCTAAAATACCTACAAATAAACAATAAACAAATTTCATTTGTCTTTTTTCCAAATATGCATCTAGATAAAAATAAACAGATTAACAGCAAAATTAGTTTCAGATCATACTCAAAACAAATACGCAAGAAAGACAGGAAAGAGAAGGAATACACGCGGAGGGCCGGCGATGACCTCAGCTGTTTGTCGGCCCATAAACCTTCCACTTTATATATACATACTCAAAACATCAGATTTAAATTTTCACTTTAGAAATACATTAACACAAAATTAAATTATAAACTTATTAAAAATAATTTTATTATGCATTTATGGTTTTCATATCTGATGCAATTATATCTTTGTATATTAGAATAAACAATACATTGTTATATGTATTCACTTTTTAGCAATATCTCTTAATAATAATTTATGTAATACATCTTTTAATATCAAGTTAAATACATGAACTTTAAATGAAAAATAAAATAAAGAAAAAACAAACAGGATGCTGAAACCTTGCAAAATAAAAAAGTCAAAAAATTAATTTACCTGCCTTCAAAATAAATGATAATAAATGATGTTAACGGTAAGAAAAAGGGCAAAACAAATTTATTTAGCTAGTAAAAATGTTTATCGCTTTAGAAGACTGCAATGGCTGAGTGGTTAGGGTGTCCGACTTGTATTGGGATCAAACCCTGACAGAGCCCAAGGCTTTTTAATTGTTTATGGCAAACGTATTGCTAAGTGGTTTGTCCCCCAACAGGTAGTTGGGTGTCCCTTCTGTATGACAGGAAGTACTTTACTTTTTTAAAAGTTTACATGTGCGTCTTTCATATGTGTTGTCTTCTAATTACTATCTTATCCCAAATTACAATACACAAAATTATTGAAATGAGTCTAAAATCAATAGATTGATCAATTCTAATTTTTGAGTTCTAACGAACATAAGGCAAAAGTTTTACCTTATGTTCGTTAGTACTCAAACAGGATGCTGAAACCTTGCAAAATAAAAAAGTCTAAAAATTAATTTACCTGCCTTCAAAATAAATGATAATAATAATAATGCTTTTACCGTAAAAGAAGAAAAAGTAAATAATAAAATGTATACATACCAATTTTGGTACTGACATATTCTTCTCTCATTTGTTGAGCAAAATTTGATTCCATGCACTCATCACCATCATCCATATCTCTATATCTACAAAATTTAGTGTCGTTTAATAATATTTTTACTTGATATTACATATATATTTTTAAATTGGGGACTTGTGGTCAGAAAAGTAAGAAAGTAGTTTTAGTTTTACTTAAAATGAACACAGGTCCCAAATTACGGAGAGAAAAAAATCTTTAAATTAATTCATTAAAAAAAAATTGAAATTGAATTTAACAAATTAATTCAACGAAGGATAAAATTACAAAGATTCATTATGGTGTAAAATTATATCAGTAAAATAAATAACAGTACAAAAATATATTTCTTACTTAGACTTATCATATCCAAATATTTCAGAAATATATTTGGAATAATCTTCCATTTCTTCTGGCCCATCATCAATGAAATCGTCCAACTCAGAGTCATATTCGGAATCTGAATCTATTCTTCCTGTAAATGACCAAATTGGTTTGAGTTTAAATGCATCCAAATTAAGCAAAGAGTATTGGTCCATGCTGAGTTTTTTCCTAACAAAATACTTATTTGTATGGCATTTCTTAAGATGAAAAAGTAAATTTGAAAGTTAAATAAAGACTGTTGAGTCACTTACTGGACTTGTCTAAACTTGCAGGTTTTTGATGTGCAATGCATTTTGGCTTTGCAATGTTTAGAACTGAGGATGTGACAAAACTGAAATGCATTTGAGAAACATCAAAAACCCACAAATATAGACATGCCCAGTAAGTGTTCAACATGTGTTCACCAACTCACAGACCAACAACCACCAATAATGTTATTTATAATACATGATTTTGTTAAACTCAAGACACTTACTTTTTTTGGATTTCATTTTTTCCAGAGATTTTTTAGTCTTAAGATTAGGCATTTTTCCACTATTGATTTTATCTGGTTTCTTATCAATAGATTTCATTTCCGTAGGTTTCATCTGGGGTTTGTTCGAATTCAACCTATCTTTGTTATCAACCATTTTCAGTTTTTGAATAGCTGGGTTTTGTTTATTGTTTCCACTGCTGGCAAGCAGCATTCTTTTTTTCTTTAAAAGTTCTATTTCACGATCTATGTCCAATAGAGTGCTATCCACATTACCCTTTTCTCCTCCTTTCCTAATGACATTTTTGTCAATGTGTTTAGAATCACTTGGTTTTGTTGACCTATCTTTTTCACCTAAACTTTTGGAAGGTTTTGGCACAACTTTGTGGTTTATGTAGTTGTTATTGTTATTAGACTTCTCTAAAGGATTGACCTCCTTTCTGATTCGTTCAGTGCTCGAAACTTTTAATTTATCCTGCTCATTTGATTTACTTTTATACACTTTGTCTTTCATGTCTTTATCCTTACTTATAGGCTTTTTGGACATCTCAGGTTTTTTACTAATGGAACTAGATTCAATACTTGATTTGGAGTGTTTTTGTGTTTGCGGGCTATCTTTAGAGGATACATCAGAATTTAAAGGTCTTCTGTTTCTATTGCGTTTCCGTTCCTCTTCTTTAAGAAATTCTTCCTTTTCTTTTTGTGTCATCAGTCTTTCAGGTTCTTTTGGCGCGGAAGGGGTTTCTATTATAATAGGTTGATGTTGTTTAACTTCTGCTAACTTCAGTAACTCATCAAAATTGATAGTAGGAGGGGCTGATTTTTTTGGTTTTTTCTTCTCCTCTTTATTTTTATCAGAATCGCTATCTTTTCGTTTGTCATTTTCTTTGTACTTATCATCTCTATGTTTATCATAGCTGTTTTCATTCTTTTCTTTGTCATTAGGAGATTTCTTATCGCCTTCTCCACTTTCCTCACCTTTTTTCCTTTTCCTCTTGTGAGGGAGTTCAGACTCTTCTTCTTCTTTGCGCAAAGCAGCTTTTACTCTATCCTGGGTAAAACATAACAACACAGAAATTAGCCACAACAGTTACTTACATAATCAACGTCTACTAAGCTTGTTGTAGTTTATAAACATACCTTAGCAGCAGCCAAATCTTTCACTTCCCGTTTTGATTTTGAAAAAATAGATGGCTCAGCAGGCATATTTTCATATTTGTTCATCATTTTGGCATAAAAAGCTGAAGCTTCCTGTGATACATATCCATAATCATCTTCATCACATTGCATTGGACCTGAAAAACGATTCAACCCATATTTAGGAAATTAGTTCAATTTTAAGTTTTTAATTAATTATACTACAATTAATTAAGGTTTTTAGTTGAGATAAAAAAGTCAATGGCACGAGCGGGATTCGAACCCACGATCTTCGGCTTGATACGCCGCTGCTCTACCACTTGAGCTATCGTGACCTCGATTCACTCGGACACCAAATTCCCTCCCATTTCAACCGCACCTTTTGAATTTCCCTCCTTTTTGCCATTTTTCAAATGTCATGTAATCGGTTTCGACGACAAATGAAATGGAAATTACTACTAGATACATATATGGATTTGTTTAAAAGTTGTTGAACCTAAATTTATAAATTATCAGTAAAAACATTAAAATATGAACACATACCATCTAACGTGTCCCTTGTGTTAACATTATCAATAGCGTCTTCCATCACAGATTTGTTAGCTGACTTAGTTCTTTTCAACATAACTTGAACTCGTTTTTGTGCTTTTTTGTCTTGACTTCGAAGAGCCAATAACTCCTAATCAGGGATAAAATATATACATATATAATTATAAGCAGATAAATAAATTATGTATATAGAGTTTGTTATTTTTAAAAAATAAGTACCGCCTTCTTTTTTCTAGCTTCTAAATTTTTCTTCTTTTCTTCTTCTTCTTTTTTGGCTAAAAACTTCTTGATATTTTCAGATAACACTGTTGGGCGTCCCAACTTCTTAGGGGGTGAAAACGATGTTTTGTAGCATGGTACCTAACAAAACCAATTAATATGAAAAATAGATAACAACAAAATGTATTTTAAGTTTTTCTGTAATGGCATTGTTTTCTATATTATTATTATTATATCTATGAGTATGTTGATGAATGAACTGTTTTTTTGCGGAGAGGGGGAGGGGCCAGAAATTCCAAGAATTGAACCACTAGCTGAGTGTCTGAGCTAGCTGATTACTCTATTTTGGGGCTTCCAAAACTATGGTCCGCCGAGCCTAACTAGGGGGAAGCGGCAAACTTCAAGAAATGTTATTATTTTAAAAAAACAAGTAGAACAAATTAAAAAAATTTAAAAAACATAGCAATGAGTACTGAAAATGATTTTTTTTTTAAATTTTGCAGCAGCAGTCATTGTGTTCTCTACATACTTGCTTTAGCTATGAAACAAAAGCCAGCCTCTTTTAAGAAAGTTTTATGTAGTAAACTTTAAGAAAGATATATTAACTATATCAAGTAGCGGCCATTGAAATCAAAAATTTTCACAATACTATGTGACAATCTCTCTCCATCACCTAATTTGGAATGGACTTGCTTAAAACTTTAACTTACTACATACTATAAGTATCTAAATTTAAATACTTGATTGAGATGGATTTTGTTCTGTGAAAGGGGTCCGCTGGCTAAAAAGTTTGGGAAGCCTTGATCTATTTTAATAGTTAACAATAGAATAACTCTCATATTTCCTAATATCACTCCAGCATGCAGGGAAAGGTGGTCAGATGTGCTTGATTAAAGTCAGTCCTTGGCTTCATATTGAGAGTGAATTAGAATGCCACCCAATACAAGAAATATATTTGAATACTGCTCCAAGTCTCTGGGTCCCACGTTCCAATTTTTAGAGGAAGTAATGGTGAGCAAAAAAACTGGTATCTGCTGTATATAGTATTTATATACATCTAATATGTATCATTTTTGTTAAATCGATCATCAAGAAATTAAAGTATTTATTAGCATGAATATGCAGTGTGAGGCAGACTGATGGCAGAACACTGAGTAAAATTATATTATTTCCATAACCTTTCAAATTACATAAATTCTTATTTTAAGCAGCTTGTTTTTCATTAAGAACAATATACGTAGGTTATATGTATATATGTGGGAAGTTTAGGGGCCGACAAACAGCTGAGATCACTGCTGGCCTTCTGCATGTTTGTACTTCTTTTTCTAGACTTTTATGCATATTTTTTATCCAACATGTAGCCATTTGAGCGTCTCGATCTGTTAATGACTCTCTTTTTACAAGAAAACTAAGTCTATATCCTAAAATGCTAGCCTCTCGTTTGTACTTCAAGTTGTCAACTATAGGATAGATATTAAACATCACCAAAAAATTTAGAAGTCGGGTCATATTCACTCCTCCAGAGTATTCGATATTCCTCCGGATGGGGTTAAACCCCTCCATTCCTGCTGATATATTACTTTTACTCTCCAGATGTCACAGTTCACACCTCACCCCAGAGTACTTGATATTACTTCAATGTGAGGTTAAACCTCTCCTTCTTGCTAATAACTTACTTTTACTCTCACCATTCACCCCAGAGTACTTGACATTCCACGGGGCGAGGTTAAAAACCCCATCCTTTCACGCTAATAAATTGCATTCATTCCAGAAATTAACATAAACACAACACCTTATACAATCTTAGAAGTGTAGTCACGTTCACTCCCCCAGAGTAATATTCCTACTGGCCTGGTCGAGCCCACTCTAGTCTCGTTAATAACATACTTTTACTCCCCAGACGTCACACACTCACCCCAAGAATATTCTATATCCATCAGGGCTGGGTCGAACCCCTCAGTTTTTGCTAATAATATACTTTTACTCTCCAGATGTTATGCACTCACCCCAAGTATATTTGATATTTTTTGGGGCAGGGTTAAGCAACCCCTTCTTTCACATTAATAAATTACATTCATTCCAATAAATTAACATAAACACAACAGCCAATACAAACATGTAAGTCTGGACACATTCACTCAACCAGAGTTCTGGTTATTCCTCGGGGTGGGGTTGAACCCACTCCATTCTCACTAATAACTTACTTTTACTCTCCAGACGTCTCACATTCACCCCAGAGTATTTGATATTCCTTTGGGCGGGGTTAAAAACCCCTTTCCTTTCATGCTAATACATTATATTCAATTCAGAAATTAACATAAACACAACAGCCGAAACGGACATAGAAGTCTGGTTGTATTAACTCTCACGAACACTCTGGATCAAGATATGATCTTCAGTTGTTATTGCCAAGCTTTCAACCTATTTTAAGGCCAACATCAGGGCAAAACTATCTTAAATATATCTACAGATTGGCATAGTCAGTCCTAAGACCATACCTTGATTCAGAATGTTCGCGAGTGAAAAAAGTGGCCAACAGTTCTAATATTAAAAACATAAATGTATTAACTCTCCCAAAGTACTTGATATTCTTCGGGGCTGAGATGAACCACACTATTCTTGCTAATAAATTACTTTTACACTCCAGACGTCACACGCTCATCCCAGAGTATTTGATATTCCTTTGGGTGGAGTTAAAAACCCCTTTCCTTTCATCCTAATAGATTATATTCAATTCAGAAATTAACATAAACTCAACGGCCGATATGAACGTAGAAGTCTGGTCAACTTCATTCCACTGGACTACTCATCATCAGAGCGGGGTCAAATCCCTCCGTTCTCGCTAATAACTTACTTTTACTATCCTGACATAACTCACTCACCCCCGAGTACTCGATATTCCTTGGGGCGGGGTTAAAAACCCCTTCCTTTCACGCTACTAAATTATATTCTTTCCAGTAAATTAAGGTAAGCTCAACACAAACACCTACACGGTCGCTTTCCGGCCAGAAGTTGCCCGTGTGTTATTCGTGTATGATCTATGAATAATCTTGTCTGGCCTTTTCCCTTTTCAACCCGCTCCCCGTGGACCAGGGACCGTAGTCTTTCCTCACCTGCCACAGTTTGGCAGGGTTAATTCTATTTTTATGAGCCCAGAGGTTTTTCCATAGAAATGATGGAGGCGGGGTGAGTATGTAGATTCACTTTTTGTGAAAGGTGGTTCTGCTCACAAATTTGCGAGTAGAACCATCTTTCACAAAAAGTGAGGTTTTCCATTCTCCTTTAACTGTATTTGTAATTAATAGTTTTAAATCCGCCGTATTTTATATGATACAACAATATAATTTCATTTATTTCTAACAAGATAATGTATATACGCACAATATTTATAATATTCATCGTATATTGTTTTAAAACTTTTTCTTTTCAATTTTGAAGAAATAACATGAAAAACGAAACGTAAATCTGTAAAAGAGACGGGCCGAATTCAACAAAATTCACAGTATGACGTTATGGCGAAGAAAGGCTAAGGGAAAGGAAATTGTTACACAGTGTAAAATAATATAGAGTATTACAATGCTAATTTCAACTTACATTTTTTGTTGTCGTATTTTTGTGGTTCTCGTGGGCTTTGAATAAGAGCTCTCCGTAATTCATTGTTGTAGACGAAATTCGACTGAAAATGCTGTAATAATAATAAAACAAAAAATGACACTTGGTCCAAATACAAGTCGAGTTTCTCTCAAAAGAGATAAAGTTTGATAAGGGCACGACTCGCCTAGCTGAATAGCATAATTTTAATTAATATTGGAAATGGAAAAAACACGCCAAGCGATGTTCAAATTAATTTAAACGTTTCGAGAACAACATTTGTAAAACTCTAAACTGTTACTGGATCCAAGAGGTAAAAGCAATTTTGAGTTGGGAAGGTTTCCACTACATCTTTTGTCGTCGAGCTAGAACTGGTTCTTGGTCGTCATAGAGTTGTGAACAACATAGAGTTCATTGAATGTTAAGTGACGTCAGCATAGTCCTTCGTCACCAGATTTCTATAATTCAATATGGTTAGGGATGGTTAGGTTAGTTATCCCTATAATTCAATATAACAATCAAAATACGTATAGTTTGACATAAACAACAAATGTGACGAGTGTCCAGTTTTTTGTTTTTCAGTGTATCTTAGGTATATATATTTTTTTAGGTTAATATATTCTATGACTAGATCTCTGTATTTAACCTATCGTTATACACGGGCAGGCAAAAAAAAAATTCGCTTACTTGTAATAAAAATTGATTTGTATATATTTCTGTATATTAATCAAAGTTTCACGTTTTTTAACGTTTAATAATTGAGTCTTTGTCTAACAAAGTTTAAAAAAATGTAAATTGCTAAGGAAAATGAAAAAAAGACGGACAGATAAAATTTGTTTTAATTTTGTTTTAGATTTTTAATTAATTATTTCAATATCGCGCATTTTCTCCTCTTGCCTTAATAATATTTCGAAGACGCCTATCAGGATGGACGTGCTCTTATTCGTCTTTTGAGGTTATCCCATAAATGTTCGATGGGGTTCAAGTCTGGAGAAGGGGATGTTATGCAGTTGAAGGTATGTTTCTACTATGCAAGCGACATGTGGAGGGGCATTATCGTGCATTAGAATAGTCGCTGATTTCATCTAGGTGGGCAACGCATGAAGTTCCAAAATTTCGTCTACATAGCGAAGGTTGGCTATTGGCTAGATAGCGAGTGGCCGACAAAGACCCTCCACGAACAACAACCAACTCTGTGCGACTCTCCATTGAAATTCCCGCCCACACCACCACTGAGCTACGATGAAAAGCTTGGCTCTGGGAAAAATTACAGGCTTCGTACTTTTCATTTCGCCTTTTCCATACTCTTTCACGCCCATCTGGAGATCGTAGAGCAAATCTACATTCATCTGTAAAAAGTACAGCAGATTAATCGTCCAATTACCAATGGCTGTGTTCTCGAGCAAATGGGAGCCGTGCAACTCTGTATGTTCTGGTCAATTCTGACAAAAGCTATCAGTCCATACTGATTTAATCTTTTTCGAGCAGTGCGTTCAGAAATTTGGGCACCTCGAACTTCCTGGAGCTGACGAATCGCTTGAACAACAGTATGGTGCTGGTATCGTAAAATTCTCAAAGTCAAAAAACGGTCATCCCGTGGTTCCGTTACCCTAGGGCGGCCAGTACCGGGCCTTCTACGGTAGGACCCAGGTTCTCCAAAACGTCTAACGGCGCCTCGCAGAGTTTTATAGGGAACTCCGATTGCAATAGCAGCATACCTGGTGAAATGTCCAACACACCACGCGCAACATCCTCAGCACTAAGTGGCATTTTTCAGTTTCAAAATTGAAATTAAGAAAAGAAAGATCAAAACTAAAAAGTTTATTACTTCAGAATTTCAATGAGTCTAAATAAACATTTTCAATTCCGTAAAAATTAAATATTGAAAAATCTTTTATCCTTGTTTTGGATTAAGGATTAAGAGTGTTTACGTCTAATTGATATTCCCAATTAAAACATAGCATCAACAATTCATTATTGATAAAAACAATGAGATAAATAAGGGCAGAATTTTCTTTTATCGTGAAAATGAAAAAAAAAATCAGTTGGGTGGAATTTTTTGCCTGTCTGTGTATAATTTTAAGCACCTATAGATACATTTTCATATTTTTTTCTTTTAAAATCCGTTTATATTTGTGCTTCGTTATATTTACTTAGTGATCTATTTTTGTAGTGTATTTATCTTCTTTTCGTGACTATCTTGTGATATAGGCTTCCAAGCTTGTATTTTTAATAAATAAATAAAAGTTTGGTAGTAAAAAATAAAAGTGAATAAAAGTAAAAAAGACTGGACTTTCTGGAGGAACATAATTGAAAATGTGTAGTACTTAGTGACCGTTCATTAATGATTATTTACAGATCGTGAGATGCGGTCTTGTGTGTTGCAGCCTTTTTCTGATGGACTGAAGTGAAAATATTACATAATCTAAAGTAGTAATTTCAAGTCAATGATTAAATTGCGGCTTCAATAAATATTCTGTGATTCTATTCTGAGAATGAAAAATATAATTGTTCTTACAGAAGGCTACTGAAAGTTTGAGAGTTTCTGATGTTATGGTTATGGAATGTTAAAGTTAATTAATTGGAGGAGTTCTGGCGAGTTTATCTGATTATTCAATAATTTATGGAGAAATATAATATCATTTTTTTACGTCTGGTTTCAAGTTTATCTGTATTTAATTTAATTAATAAATTAAAGCAAAATTGTGGAATAAAACCCAATGTGCATATCTCAGAAACCCATGCTGAATTCTTTCAAGAGAACGTTGTAGATACTGATAATGTGATGAATAAACAACAGAAGAGAATTCAAGGATGGGTCTGACTAAGGATGTATACAGGGTGTTTGGCTACTCGTGTTACAAACTTTGCCAATAGATTCTACATTTAAAATAAAACCAAAAAGTCCTAATTAACCGCGGTACGAATCTCAACAGTTTCGGAGTTAGTCCCCTTTTTCTGATGAAAACGCACTGTACTATTTTTTGTATTTCCATTAAGGCAAAATAAATTTTTAGTATATAGGGTGGTCAGCTCGTCGTGTTAAAAAAATTTTTTACCTGACAGTACAGTAGTGAAGTAGAATGCCTAAACCTCATGGTTTTATCTCGATCCGTTCAAAAGTTTTTTTTAGTGTTTATGTAAGAAAAACTGAATTTTCGCTACTTTAACATAACTTTTTCCGATGGTGATCGCATAACAAACATAACTTTTTCCCAACTTTTGACCCCATTTTTAAATTTAGCACCGGATTTCCTTTTAGTTTAGTCCGCTTTTGTTCTAAAACTTGCTAATCCACTTACATAACAGCTGCACAAACATCATGAAATTTGCGAAATGGTAATTTTGCATCAACTCCTTTAAACCGTAGCTCCCTCGCATTGAATTTTTTAAAACTTCAAACCAGCTAAAAACTTCAACATTTTATTTGCTTTCCAACAGTTTATTCCAAACCTGGATTTGTATTTTTTGATGAGCAATGTCAGAAGGAAATTGTAAAAACGTGGCCCGAGACTTATCCTGGGACTAACATTCTGAAGGGCTTGAGATAAAACCATGAGGTATACGACAAAAAAAATTAACTCGATGAGGGGCGGTTTCACCCTATACAGGGTGTTCGGCTACTCGTGTTACAAACTTTGGCAGTAGAATCTACATTCAAAAAGGAACCAAAAAGTCCTAATTATGGTCCTAAATGGTCCGAATCTCAACAGTTTCGAAGTTATTCGAAATGATGAATGATGGAGTGAGTGCGGTGTTCAATCCTTTTTAAAAAGATAGTTCCTACTCACAGTAAGTTGTTTTGCAACAACCAGATTTCGAGCCCTTAGCTCATCATCAGGTTGAAGGATCTGTTTTACAACCTGATGATGAGCTAAGGGCTCGAAATCTGGATCGTTACAAAACAACTTACTGTGATTAGGAACTCTCTTTTTAAAAAGGTTTCCACTTTTTCTGATTTTTATTAAGATATCCCAAATCCAATCCTTCAAATAAAAGATTATAACTCCAAAACATATAGGTTTTGGACAAATCCGTTGACACCATTAAAAACTACGTTTAATTTCCAATAAGCAGTGATCAATATTAAACTTGTAAACGTTAGTGAAATAAGCGTTTTAGTAGCGAGAATGAATTTTTTTTTAAAGTTGAAAACTTACTATGGTGATTCTAAACTACTATTTCTAAACCTAGAGACCAGCAAATTTCAGAAAACATACTCCATTTAATATCCTTTTTAGTGGTGCAATTGCTTTTTTATTACTTTTTTCAAAAATGAAGAAATTGATGAAGGAAAGGTAAAAACCATGGTTGACGGAGTGGTAAGGTGGAAAGATTAAAAAAATATGAATGAACTTAAGGAAATTTTGAATAAATTTATTAAACTTTTTTTAAAAATTTGGTTTCGAAACCGAAATAGTACAATTATTTACTTATTTACCAACACGACTGGAACTTTGATTAAAGCATTATTGTATTTTTTTATTTATTTATTTATTTCCCCGGAATAAAAAAGTTTTAAGATGCAAATCGTTTTTAGTTCATTCATTCAAAATTTTCTTCAGTTTTTTTATTTTTTATTATTATTAATCTTTCCCCTAGGGGACCGCAGTAGCCGAGTGGTTAGCGTAGGACTCGGTTCATAGACCCCGCGGTCGTGGGTTCGATTCCCACCGTCGCCTTTGCCTTTTTCATGCCCCCCCCCCCCCCAAATATGAATACACATAATAATCATCTCCTTTGGCTAATATGCATCGATCATAAGGCCTTGTTTCCGCCTTACCAATCCGTCAACCCCGGTTTTTTTCCTTTCCTTCATCAATTTCTTCATCTTTGTAAAAAGTAATTAAAACATTATACCACTAAAACGGATATTAAATGGAGTACGTTTTCTCAAATTCGCTGGTCTGTAGGTTTGGAAATAGTAGTTTAGAATCACCATAGTAAGTTTGTCAACATTGAACAAAAAATCATTTTTCAAAGTTCTGGCTACTAAAACATTTATTTCTCGAAAGTTTACAAATTTAATATTGATCACATTTGATTGGAAATTTAACGTAGTTTTCAATGGTATCAACGGATTTGCCCAAAACCTTTTAGTTTTGGAGTTATCATTGTTTATTTGAAACAAGGTCATGAAATCTTAAAAAATCAGAAAAAGGGGAATAACTCCGAAACTATTAAGAGATTCGGACCACGGTTAATTAGGACTTTTTGGTCCATTTTTGAATGTAGAATCTACTGGTAAAGTTTGTAACACGATTAGCCGAACACCCTTTATATTACAATTTTAACAGCTGACCAGCTTTTATTCTTTATATTTTGTTATATGTTTTTTTTTTTGTGGTAAAAGATGAGTCAAGGTGATTATTA